CCAGGTCAGCGAGCCTGACCACCCGATAACGTTAGTTGCCTATTACGACAAGCATGGGTTGCTGAAAACCAATTCTTCACAGGTTGCCTGTGACGGGACCAGAACCAGCCAGTAATGAAAGGAGAGTTGGTTGCCATTTGAAACAACCACACCCAGGTATATTTTTCAACCATGTGTCCAAAATGCACCACCACTGCCTCATCTGCATCTTAGCAAATAATAATAATGGCTTGTTTCCACGCACTTGTGCATGCTCAAGCAGGGCTCGATTTAAGAGATGTTAACCTACTTGCACGGTGCAACCTAAGATAAAACCTAGTTGCACCAGCCAAATTCCAGTTGTACTGCTTTTTATTGCAATATGCAATGTAAGAAATATGGTATTGAATTGTTTGGATGTTTTATTGAGAGTTTACCCACTCAAAATTAGTAATATTGGGTTGCACCAGTGCAAGTAACAAAGTACTAAATCGAGCCCTGTCAAGGCGCTAACACATTATTATCCAGGTTAACAAAAGCTGCCTGTGAGGAGCTAGAGCCTACAAGGTTAACAGTCACATGACCCATCCCACTGGGTACCCATTCACTGCTGGGTGAACAGAGGCAATTTATGAACAAACTCACTTGCCTAAGGTGAGACCATGTGTCAATGTGTGGAACATGACCTGAAGTCCCAGAAACACTAGTCATCCTGACAAACACAGTTACCCATCCAAGGACTCGGGACCAATGTTGTTTAACTTCCACTGATTTGTGACCTGAGCTCTATGCACAGGACCACACTCCACCAGATGGTGGTCGCCCCTGATGTTGACATTGTAAATTGTGTTGCAACATCACCTCTTTTGGTTTGCATGTTGCTCTGTCTCCTGCTACCAGTTATGGCTTTTGTAAATGCTTTTATGATAAAATGACCATATATTATGTGGTTATTTTCAATCCAATTAGAGTTAATTTTTCCCTGATATATTTTCCCATTTGGCTGTAAATAGCATAACATTGACAGTTCCCCTACAACCTATATGTTTCTGCCCATCAATATCTCAACATCAGTCAACTCCAGTTTAAAACAAAACGATCCAAAGTGACACCTAATTCACCAAACAGTAGAGACACAGCCTATGAGATATACATTCATCGAACCCAGCATTGACACCATCATGTTTATTCACACTGAGGTGAGGTGGAGGAGGTGAGGTGAGGTGAGTGAGGAGGCGAGGTGAGTGTAGAAATTTGGGCCCATGTCATGGCTCTGAGAATATTTCGGCCATATGACGCATCGTATCGCATATGCAGTATGTACGTGCGGCTGTTTGTACTAGCCCAGACTCTAAGCTGGTTTTATAGTGCTAGCCCACTGAGATACTCATGCCGCAGTGAAGCACATGAATACCCCCAATTCAGACACATTATACTTTGACTCGAAAGTTTGCCTGCAGTCCCTGCTGCACCCCACACAGCCTGCGCAGACCAAGTACCATATATATTTTAACGCTTTTTTGGTATGACGCCGGGATCAACCCATGACTTTCACTCTCCATGACGCTTCTAACTAATACATTCACGGAGGCGGGGTCTCTACCACACTGATATGTTACAGTGGACTCATCAGTGTTTCCCTTTGTATATACCGACTTTGACCTGCTGAAATGTCCGTACTCGCTGTCGGCCATGGACTAAAATTTTAAAATCAATTTCTAACCACAATTTCTGTCAATTTTATTTCGGCCTAAAAAGATCACCTTTCACACCATCACCCAGTGCTGTTCAAACAAAATGGGAAGCATTGGAAACCCCAGGAGACATGATAGTATGGACAACTTGATTTAACACACATCTTTGCATTTTGCTGGTTGTTAGGGGCACACAAATTGAAAAGCTGACCACTTTGACTCCAAACTTCATAAATGGACCGGTATTTGAAATGCTACCTCGTCACAGCACTGTCCAGCTGTAAACAAAGCTTCAGCGAACACTCTGCTCATCCCCTTCTGTCAGATAAAACTGTGCAAAACTGGGGATCATCCTTCACAGAGTGTAGGACTGAAGGTGGTCAGGATTTATCGAGTCTTGATCTTTCCATCAGCTCTACAGCACGCTAGCCAGTCACTAACTGATGATTACTAACAGACTGAGTTCAGTGACAAGATCACCAATCCTAGCTTTGTTATCGGCTGTAAGACTTTGAAACTCTATCGCTGAACTCCGTTTGGGATTCTGACGTGAAGTCTGACAGCGTTGATAATGGCCTCAAGAAAACAAATATTGACTTTGGACAGGTTAATTTTTTCCAAGACAAGATTTTTGATAAGACGTAATCAGGATAAGTGACTCAAGGGCTACAATTCCTTCAATAATCACCAATTTGTCTGCGCGATGTGAGGAGTGAGTGAGTGAGTTTAGTTTCACGTCAAGACTCAGCAATACAATTCCTTCACAATCACCAATTTGTCTGTGCGATGAGCATGAGCGAGCGAGCTCATTCTCATCAAAGACCCCGTGCCAACACAATCTCCACAATCACCAACTTGTCCAGCGATGTGAGTGAGTGAGTTAGAGCTTTAGCTCCACTGACTGAGGCAACATCGATTCTCTCAATAATCACCAATTCTCTTGGAAGCATGTGGGCGAGCGGAGTGAGTTTGAGTTTTAATGACTAGCAATATTCTTCTACAACTCACTAATTGAGTCTTGAAGTGCATGAGTGGAGTTAGTTTAGTTTTACCACTTAGCACATTTCATTCTTTCCACACTCACCACTTTCTAAAGTAATGTGATGGAGTGAGTTGAGTTTGAGTCTATGCCGCACTGAGCTAATGACTGGCCTCTTCACACTCACTCACCTTCTAAAGGACATGTGAGTGAGTGAGTGAGTTTAATTTTACTTACCCTGGATAATCATGCCAATTCCTTCACAATCACTCAATTTCTGTGCGACAAAAGAGGAGTGAGTCAGTTTTTTCACTGCACTTAACATTCCTCCATAATTCACTTGAATTCTCCTTGAAAGCATGAGGAGTAAGTGAGTTTTCTGTCACACTCTAGCTAACACATAATCTTCCACAACTCACTCTCAATTTCTTGAAGCATGGAGGATGAGAGGAGAGTGAGTTTGAGGTTTCCCAGACAAACAAGACTCAGCAATACTGATTCTTCACACCACCAATTTCTTCAAAGTAATAGAGGGTGAGGGTGAAATCAAGGTTTTAATGCCTGCTTTGAGAATTATTTTCTCATTACATCATGTGCAATGACAAGCAGGGTATGGTGATGTGCTGCTGTTTTGGAATTGAGCTCACACTGAAGCTGGTTCTGATAGTGTTGAAATTCACTGCTGGCTCACCTATGAGCGAAGAATTACCCCTAAATTACATCATTTATACTCTGACCCTGTTTGACCCAGTCCCTTTTGAAAATTTATTTCAATTTTTCCTGTTTCAGAACTGCCCCATATTTTAACTGCCTTTGCATGACGTGTTGTCGGGGATCGAATTTGAGGAGTGAGTGAGGCTTTGGAGTGGATGCCACACTCAGCAATTTGTTCAGCCATATATGGTTGGGATTCTGTAATGACTGAGGTTCTGGATTTCCACCTAGTGACTACCAGCACTTGTGCTGGCTGAGAAGATAGGTTATTTAGGAAACTGATAACCTACTCAGCAAATTAGGCTTGAAGTTCTACTATGATCATACTTTGAATCAGGAACTCTGCCCAAACTTTGTCTTAATGTGTCTTTGAGAATGGTACTGATGACTGGCCGGTTTCTGCTGTATAAAACCCCATGTTGTTCAATGCCTCCCGGCTTGCTCAAAACAACACAACGATCCACACACACTCAAATTACATTCCTATCAGGAGTACTCACACCAGACCTGACATCCTCGTCACCACTCCTGTCCATTACTAAAGTAATATGGGATGAGCTGGAGCGTCCCTAAAACCACTGAAATCTGGCTTGAACGATGGAGCATGCTGAGTTTTATCTATTTATTTTACTTATTCACAAATTATTCAGCTATAGAACGGAGTCTGGACCTGCGACAACTGAGTTGATCAACAAGTTACGAGTTGGACCATGCATGATGTTCAAACCAAGCCCAACAGCCCTAATCACCCCATCCTAAGTCAATTTCAAACAGCCATGTCACTGACCACCTTAACCTGATCCTACCTGAACATGCGAAATAATGATCACTGCACATGAATAACTTGACAGTCTGCATTCTCCATCACTGAAACCAACGATTCTGCAGTCACAAACAGCTCTGTTGAAACAGCCTCCTGCTCTCAGTGCCAGGTCCAACCAAGTCTTAATTAACCCTCCTTAAAACCCCCTGGGCCAAAAGAGAATGTAATCATCACAGCAGCCCACTGACATCGTTTGACCTGGAAATTAATCTTCACTTTATTTCATCAAATGCCCTAGGTGTCTCTGGAGTGATGGAGAGCTGAGTTTTAATAACGCTTTTGAGTATTGATTCACTGATCACTCTGCTAGCATTTAATGAAAACGGGGTCACTAATGACAAAATTTACGGGGAATCCAACCCAGGCCTTCATGGCATAAACGTTAGTGTCAATTGCTTAACCACTTAGGCCACCACTTCACTAGTTTGGTCTTGAGTGGATAATGGAGTGCGACACGAGATGGAAATGGACTAACTGATGGGCATGAAACTATCAACCCAGAGTTAGTGAAAGGCTGGCCTGAGGACAGTATCTGTGATAATTCCAACCCATCAAAAATTATCCCCAGGGGTGCATGGAAAGTGAATTGCACGGTGACTACATATTAAACCACAACCTATGTGAGGAAATCTGAGGACTTTCTAGATTCAGATAACCTTTCTTCTAAGGAGGATTTTGATATTTACATGTTATAGGATTGGAACGACTGCTTGAATGTATGAAACAAACAAATACAAATTGTAAAACCAATTTATTCTATGAATAAATGTGCATACTCCAGGGTGGATGAGTGGGTCTCGGATGACTTCACCCAAGTTCTCAGCGAGCTTTGACTCTGACTGAGAACAGCTTATGATGGCATGAGGGTCTCGACGGTCTAATAAACACCCTTTGGATCAAGTAACTGCCACTTAGTCACACAGGTGGTTTATAGTTTGACTTGATTGCTCATTACCCGGCATCATTTATGAGTAGGGTCTCACCATCCAGACAGAACTTGTTGTAAATCACTTCATCTGTGTACACTATTTCATCTTATAAGACTATTTTATGAATCATCTTTTTTAAATTCCTTTGTAATAAAGGAGGTAGGGATTAAAGCAGGTCCTTCCTGTATGATGATCTAAAGCAGGTCCCCTTGTATGTAGGACTAGCAGGTCCTTGTATGGTGATCTTTTTTGGGGCAGGTCCCTGTATGGGATGACTCAGCCAGGTCCTGTATGCAGGACTTCAGCTATGGTCCAGATGGTGACCAAAAGGAGGTCCTGCATGGTGATCAAGGAGGAGTCCTGTGCATGGTGACTTCATGAATCCCTTGCATGGTGACTACACATACAGCAGATTCTCCCACTGCGGAGTCACCACTGGCCCCATATACTACAGGAATAAGATTCCAAGCAGGTCCCTAGAGGACTACACATACAGCAGATTCTCCTGACCTGAGCCTAATTGGGTCCATGATACTTCATTGGTGAACATGACTAGTTATATCCCTTGTATGGTGATCACGACACAGCGCAGGATTCACCTAAGGACACCACTGGGTCCCATGCATACTACAGGAATAAGACTCAAGCAGGAGTCCTGTATGGTGACTCACACATACAACGGAATTCTCCCAATCGTGAGCCATCACTGTGGCCCCATATACTGCAGTGAACCATGACTAAAGCAGAACCCTCGGCAATTCCCAGATCAGAGTAACCTACCTTGTTTATCTAGATTGAAAAACAAGTCAATGCAGTCATCTTCCCCTCCTGTCTGTTCTCTGAGTCTGAGATGGAGTTCACCGGATGTATCTGTGGGACACAAAGGGCATGTATCACTAACACTCTCTACTGGCAAAGGGAGACAACCTGTATGCATGCTAAGCTTCAAAATGAATGTATGAGGGCTGTACAAGAACATCAACCAAGAATCCACAATACTTACTCGCCAAATAAAAGTTCCCTTGAGGAATATCTAAAGTGAGTTTGAACCCCCCAGCCTCGCTGCATTGGTCGCTACAAGGCTGAAGTCGGCACCTGTAAGCGTCAGAACTTTTGTTGAGTTTGATGCAACGATGAGGAAGAGGAGTAGTGTCCATGAACTTGACTTAATGGGAGGGACTTATTAATGCTGTTCCATACTGTAAAGCAGGTAGATCACTCTAGCTATTCAGGAGTTCGCGATAGAAGTAACACAGTCTGCCATTTCCTTAACCATTACAATTAGTGTTTGGATTTTGATCTTCTTTACACAAAAGTGAGTTTTTATATGGAGTTGTTTACAGTACAACACAATAACGTGATTCAGTGTTTCACCCTAACCAACCAACTCAAGTGCAGAGGGTATCAAAGCGCGATCGTCAATGCGTATTTTTAGTCCTGAGGTTTCCTGAAACTGCTGTTTTGTTGACAACACCTCGATATTGGTGAGAAACGTAATCTTTTAGATGAAAAAAATTGACAGAGGTATTTAGAAAAATTGATTTACAAATTTGCCTGACACCAATGACCCACAACCTGTGAAATGTCCGGACATTCTAACTTTACGCATAAACAGAATGTTCAGATTGAAGTAAAGTGAGATTGGCATGAGGTCAGTATAATAACCCTCTATTGACCTCTTGGACCAATCTTTATGCCTTGTGCTTCAGTTGTTTGTATGGATTAAAGAAATCACTTCACGTAATTTAGTTGCAAGCTGTAACAAGTGAAAACACATGCATATACTCAAGCAGCTAGCGAAGGTATTATATCTTCATTAACTATTTAGCATTCATGATGCAGAGATGCCAACCCCAAAGTGGTTCCAAATAGCAGTTTCGGGGACTCAAAATTGGTAGTTTGACAATGAAAATTAGTATATTTGTCTTTCTTTTAAAGAATTAGTACTCAACCAAGTGCCAAAATCAGTGATGCTTCTTAGAAAAGATTATGACTACTGATCAAGAATGAAACTTTAATTTCACATGATTCTCCAACCTTGAATTTCCAAATTAACAGCATTACATTTCTTCTTGTCATCTCTTTTGGCAAAATAGGTTTTCTCTATATATCCCAATTTTATGAAGATTTTCTCTCAAATCCTGTGCGTTCCTCAGTGTCATATTGGCAATTAGGCCTTTAAGGCTAAAATTAAGTAGCGACTATGATAAAATCGGAGATAATTTGGCATCTCTGTAAATGCAGGGTGCTATTCCAGAAGCTAATTGTGAGACTCTAGGTTGTAATCTGATGTAGCAGACGATGTGACTGGATGGTTGGGACTCCGCATTGATGCCATTTTGTACAACCCGCTTGTTTACAGTTGGTCAACACCGACATGCTGATACGCTCAAACAGCAGTGGGGGCTCAACCAGGTTGGAAATCTATTAAGGTCAAATGGCCAAAACTGCAACAAATCATCGCTGTGCTTAACTGCTCTCCACGACAAAAGACACACTATTTCAGCAATATTCAACTCTTTTCTTTTCACCAGTGGTTTGTATGTACAAAGGCCCATTATTATTATTATTCTCATTATGAGGAGGTCCAGGATGAGGACCCTCCTGATTGGCAAGCTTATGGAGAATGAACTTTGTTTTGATTACGAGTGCAACGTTTCGTATACGAATTCTTGTACCATTGTCAAGCAGCAGGAACTGTATCGAGAGTTGTTAATCTAAATTGAAAGAAGCTATTCTTCCATGGAATTATCAATCTACTTCCCAGCTTCAGCTAAAATGCCACTCCAAAGAAGTTACCCTCTATTGTGGTTCATAAAAGCGGCAATGGATTCAATGACAAACATGAAAATTGTAAACAACTGCATGAATGAGCCTTGAAATTATTCTATCAGCCTCATGAAATGGGTGCTGTGGATCAGCACCTGCCCTTGGCAACATACATCTCAAGTTGGAGTTTATCAGCAATTGAGTAAAACATTTTATTCACTCAGAGGTACTATGTAGATCAGTAGTATCGCATACAGATGAGCTGGCTACATTAGTAGATCCTAACACATTGAGATGTTGCAGTGGTAAGTGCCTGAGCCTCTGCAAGGATAATTTCGTAGAATAAATATTTCATTTGTCATACATGTTAGAACCCCGCGAAGATCGGGTTAGAATTGATCTTCAGTAACCCATGCTTGCTCGTAGAAGAGACGACTTAACAGGAGGAAATGGAATTGGTCAGGCTCACTGACTCTGGTTATTTTATGTCATCGTGATCCCAATTCTTGAATCGATGCTCTATGCTGTTGATCACGTTGTCTGGTCCCATGTAGCGTAGCGAAATACTGCTGAGTGCAGCGCCAAAAACTAAACTCACTCATACAGTTAGATGACACAAAATCTGTTGTAACAATACCTTTTGTATTTTTATATTCACACATGTAATATGGTGGACCTTTGACTGAGTTTGGTTTTCATGCTGAGCACAGCAATATTCCTTCCAACATCGATTACAGGGATTACCAGTGAAATGGGCTTCTAGCACATTGTAAATTTCATGTGGGGATTGAGCGAGGTCTCTCAGCGTGGCTGAGCCAACGCTTGCTCACCTAAATACCCCACAGCCCCGTAATAGTGTGGAAGTTTTAGGGATCAGTTAAATCACCTCTTCTTTCGGAGAGGCGATTCCTGGACCTTCGCCATGGAGTGAAACATACCCCCATTATGATCCACTATGAGATTTGAAGTTCAATGAAGCCTATTACAAGGATGACAAGGCAACTATGTTTCCCAGTACCCGGTTTGAATTACGCTTCGAAACCTGCATATGAAATTATTAGATTTCACTTCATTAAGTTTTCAGTGCCAACGTGGTGTGATGACTTTATTTTTGTTGTGTAGGTTATCATTATATTCTCTTTGAATCTAAACTGTTCATTTTAGCTTCACTATTATCATTGCTGTTGATTAAAACATACCGCGACATGTCAGGTAGGCCGCTGCTGTGCTTGTATGGTCTCAGATCATCTGTAGAATTAACACTGAAGTAGCCAGTCACCTGCGGCCTCAATTAATGAAGACTTTGGTCTCAGGATCCCGATAGGACAACCTCTTAAGAATTTTGCGCGAGTGTTGGTCATCATTGATACCACATCAAGCAGTCCCCATAACTTACATTTGCCTCTGAAGTTGGAAGATCACAAACTGAGTTTGAGGAAATTTAGAAGGTGAAATATGCATAACATAAATTTGGTATTTCATTCATACCAGTTACACTAATTAACCAACTTACATTAGCGTTATGATTTACATCTGCTTGGAATAACCTGTAACGTATGCATTTGGACCACTAGCCAAACCAAACCTTGAATATGATCTGCTTTGAGTGAGGATTTAGGAGTGAGTGGTGAGTGAGTGAGTGGTGAGCTGAGTGGAGCAGAGTGATGTGGTGAGTGGAGTGAGTGAGTGGAGTGAGTGAGTGAGTGAGTGAGTGAGTGTGGTTTAACGCTTTAGCATTATTCCAGCAATATCACAGCAGAGGACAACAGAAATGGGCTTCTACACATTGTACCCATGTGGGAATCAAACCCTGGTCTTACGCTGACAAGCAAACGCAAGCACTAACCGCTAGGCTACCCAACTGCCCTAGTGGACGCTCAGTTGGTGTAATGAACAATAGAGGTGAGCTCTGTGGATATGCAGCTTTTTATTACAATATATGGAACGTTTTTGGTGCCGATGTTGACACGCTACCAAGCCACAGTGAACATGACTGTATAACTAGGGAGTTTATAATTGTATTGGGGAACCAAACTGATGAAGGAGTAGAACTTACATTAACCTGATGAAGGATTAAGAATATACTCTGAAGCGTGTGCTCAAAATATAGAAGTTGACATCCATAAATTATTCCATTCAGTTTCATTATTATCATTGCTGTTAACCAAACATACCACGACATGTCAGGTAGACCGCGACTGTGCTGTATGCCCTCAGATCACTGTAGTTAACACTGAAGTTAGTCACTACCCGCTCAACACAAGACTTGGTCTTAGGATCGATAGGACAACCTCTTAAATTTTACTGGCAGTGTTGGTCATCATTGATACACATCAACAGCAGTCCCCCATAATTACTTTTGCCTCTAAGTTGGAAGATCACAAACCGAGTTCAGGAAATTTAGAAGGTGAAATATGCATAACATAAATTTGGTATTTCAATAATGCCAGATACATTAATTAACTGCTTACATTAGCGTATATAAATAAAAACTACTTGGAATACTGTAACATGCATTTGAGCCAAGAGCAAACTAAACCTTTGAATACATCTGCTTTGAGTGACATTTAGAGAGAGTGAGTGAGTGAGTGAGTGAATGAGTGAGTTAGAGTATGGTTTACGCGCTTTTATGACATCCATAAGTTATTCCATTCAGTTTCGACTATCATCATTGCTGTTATTAACATACCACGACATACACTGTGCTGTATGTCCTCAGATCACTGTAGTTAACACTGAAGTTAGTCACTACCCGCTCAACATAAGACTTGGTCTTAGGATCCCCGGATAGGACAACCTCTTCAATTTTAAGCGGTGTTGGTCATCATCGAGACATACCAGGCAGCAGTCCCCCCATAAGTAGTTGCTCTTGGTTGGAAGATCATAAGTAATTGACTGAAGGGGCTGACCAAGAAGTGTACTTTCTAGAGTATAGTGAGTGAGAGAGTTTAGTTTCGCCCGCCAAACAGCAATATTACAGCTATATGGTGGCAGGCCTGACCCACCTATCCCGTTATTTGCATCTTCTAACAAGCATGGGTTACTGAAGATCAATTCTAACCGGATATTCGCTGGTCTCTTGGCTATAGAGTACAATGAGTAGAAAAATGAGCATCCGGCTAGGGGATTCAGACATTTTACAAAAAAATCTGGTTTTCAATATGCACAGAAATATGCTAGCTAGTTTGCTAAACACAGAAGTACTAAATACACCATGAGCTTTTTTTGCCTTGTCAAATCCAAAAGCATTTGACACCAAGCTTCTGTGCACACACACAGAACTGGGAGGAACAGTCATCTTTACACCGCAGCTCTGTAACACAATGTAACACAATGTCACACGTGAGGAAGGTGGAATAAAAAATTACCCATCTCATAAAAATAGCTATAAGTGACAACAAAATAATGATCGTTTGTTAAACAACTTTTTGTATTTGATGTCCAAAATTATGAGACAAAACATCAGAGTTGGTCTGTTATTTTATGTGACTGGGCAAAATTTTGTTTTGTTGCAATTATTAGATTTTGTGTTAGTGAGCAATTCATCATTGGTCTCAAATGAAATTAAACATACTATACACTGAATCCAATCACATATGGATGAGATAATATCAAAGGCAGATGGTTCCACTGATGATCAACTTTGATCTACTAAAATTCCCCAGTGGGTAGTTGAGGTTGACTGATCAGAATAAGACAGGACATCTACCTGTAGGCTTGTGATGACTCTGTTGATGTTCAGAGGGCTTGTTTACTATATTCTCAACAATATACAGGTAGTCTGTTGAAACTGTTAGATCATCTACAGCATTCACGCAAGCAATAGGGTTCTTTTCCCGCCCGTAGGAGATGTCCCTGTGATGAGCAGAAGGAATTACTGAGTTGCTACAGCAGACTACAGAGATGCCTACCCCAAAGTATTGCAAATAGTAGTTTCAAAGATCAAAATTAGTACTTTGACCATAAAATTAGTAGTCAACTAAATACTTAAAATCATGATGGATTCTGAGAAAGAAAATATTGCACTAATCAGAGTGAAGCTTTAATTTCACATACCTCCAACAGCAAATTTCCAAATTGTTACTTGCAATGATTCCAGTTCAAATATGTCATTAAATTTGATGAATGGAAGGTAAGTGAAGTCCGAAAATGTATTTAATCGATGAAAAATGTAATTTTCTGAGTAAAATTGATATTTTATACTTATCCTGACTCATGCTCTTTTTCTTGTCCCCTTCCTCTTGCGAACATGAGTGGAACACTTGTATCTCCAATTTGAAGGCTTCCTTCAATGTAAAAATCACTACTCAATGGTCACTCACCAGAGTTACCTCCTGCCGTAAGGCTGGGAACAGGTGTCGCCACCCTCTGGCCCTCATGCTTCACTCTCTCCTGATTTCCATGAGCCCAACACTTGAATTTACAGGGAAATCCAAAGTGTTATGTGGGGAGGATGGGAGGGAAACCTCATGAGTCAGATAAGTATAAAATATCAATTTTACTCCAGAAAATTACATATTTTTTCCTTATCCTGACCTGCCTTTGCTTGTAGAATCAGGAGTGGTGGTAGTAAACAGAATACTTTGGATTAATTAGTGATTTAAGTAAGTGATATTGTAATAACCCCTCTTGCGGGGAACTTCATATAAGGCATTGAGACTTAGGATATTTCCTTATAATAAGCTATAGATATATACACTATAAGTGGGGTATTACCTTTACTAATATACTGATATATCAATATATATATAAACTGCTACTCTAGCAGTAGCTGTACACTGAATATAACTCAGTATGAGCTTAAGGTTGAATAACCTAAGCTAAATATGTACATAGCCCTAGAACTCCATGGAGTTATAAGCTGAGTGAATATATGTATCATATATCTAATAATCTCGTGGGGGTGAATATTAACGCTTCACGAGGGACTCTGTCAATTGCTGAGCGAGGACCAAAGGATCGAAATGATGAATGCCATGAGGCGTCCTCGGTGGTGATATCTCTGAGATAGTGATTAGCAAACACTGCATGTTAGATTTCAAGCATCCTTCCATAATTGTATTCAATGAACAGTTACCATGAAGGGCGAGGGTGGATGCCAATGCCCTGATTTCATGAGGATTTGATGCTGTTGGAGGGTCCAGTCCTGCTGCCTTATAGGCTGCCGAAATGATTGCGTTCTTATCCATATTGATATATGGTGGTACGAGACTTCTGTCTGATTTTGTAGGCGATAACGGATGAACAATCTTCTGAGCCGATCTTCGCCACAGCCTTGGAAGCACGTAAATAGATTATGAGAGCTCGTGACTGGGCATAGAGATATCCAATGTATCTTGAGATCCAAGAATTGAGGATAGCCGCAGGGATGTGAAATAACCTGTCTGGTTGACCTGGTAGTTGATTTTAGCCATGAAATCCCATCTTAATCCCAGGTGCTGTCTTTTGATTTTCATCAAACTGTATCCTCTCATAATCTAGAGCATGAATTTCAGATATTCACTGGCTGCGTGGCTACTACATAACAGGGAAGACTGTTTTCTGTGAGAGAAATTCAAGCGCTAGTGCGATTCCAATGGTTACAGTAATCCTCACTTGTGAGGTGTCAGTAAACTACATTCAGATCCCAAGCTAAGCGTGGAATTTCCGCTTTTGGTCCTCCAATGGAAAGCACGTAGTAAGGCCAGTAACTCTGGTGTTCTTGTTAATTTAACACCCGTTCCTCATAGAAATCACAGAACTAAAGCGGCAAGATATGTTGACAATGTCGTAGCCTTTTTAAATGTTTGTTTTGCGTAAAGTAACACAAATAGTTCGCCACTCTGAGGATCGTGGCATCTCTCGCTAATAAAACCCTTTGTTTGTTGCATAATTTTGAAACTTGCCACTTTGTCATCGCATTGCAACGCTAGCGTTGAGTATCGTATAAGGCTAGCGTGACGCTTTTGCGCCTCTGGTAGAATATCCTCTCTTGTTTAAACACATTTTAATACAGTCCATAATGTGAAGTTTGAATACTTCTGGGTTTCTGTGCACCTGTTTGGTGTGAGGATGTATTAACAGGTTTTAGCGCTACGGTAGTTCTAGTGCCCGATTTGACCCGATTATCTTGTATTAAGGCGAACCACGATTCTACAGCGGCCAATAGGGCGCGACCAAAGTGAGTTGTAGGCTCTGGGCGCTTGGTTGATTTTCTGTAATACTAGAGGTGTGCTTATTGTTGGGCGAAACGTACGCATTGAGGCCTTCCATGAAATGCTTAGAGCGTCTGTTGCCCATGCTTGTGGGTCTGGCACTGGTGACACGTAATGTCGGGTAGTTGATTGTTGAACCCGTGGCTTAATAGATCTACTAGCGGCTCTATTTGCTTGATTATCTGTGCAAATATCTCTGTATTGAGCATCCATTCTGTCGGCGACGTAGATGTGGCCGAGAAGCGATCTGCTAGTATATTCCTGGCTCCGAATGTGGCATGCTTTGACATGCTAGATTTGAGATCTTGATTAAATTCGAACAGTTGAAAGGTTAAATTCAAAGAGTTCGGCGATCTCGTTGGAGCCTTGTCTGTTCACATAAAACGCCACTGCCTGAGTTGTCGGTATGTATCATCAGGGTGCGCATTCTGTAGAATGTTGCTCCAATGTCTTATGGCGTTGATTACAGCTTTCATCTCTAATGCGTTTATGTGGAGTTTGCTTTCTTAGCTGAGTCCATAACCCTGATGTCAGTCCGGTTGGAGAGCATGAGCTCCCCAACCTTGGACGCTAACGTCTACATATAGATGGGTCTTGGAATTCCTGCTCTGCTAAACAAATCCTTTCGCAGAACATTCGATTTCTTTGTCCACCATAATAGGATGAGAGATGTATGCACGGTGGAACTGGAATGGTTGTAGGTCAAAGTCGAGATGTGTATTGAGCGGCGACCTGTATACGGACGTAACTGTAATCTGCCTATGACTGTCAAGTCTTGGCTGATGTTAGAAAGACCCTAGTAAGCTCTGCCATTGTCGAAGTAAGGTAGCGGTAGACAGTAGAGCTGGTGGAATGATCTGTTGGATCTTGAGCCAACGGTCTTCTGGTCACGACTCATACGGTTGAGATTGGTGATAAATCGGATTCTAGGAATTGCAGATCTTAAGCGATGGTACTAGTCCCACTTGTGTAAGTTTACTAACCATCCCAGCTGTGTTAGTAGCTTTATGATGTAGTTTAACTGTAGTTTGAGATGCTGTGGATCTTGATCTACTTGTATCCCGTCGTCGAGGAAGAACACACTGGCGTAGCCCTTGACGATGTAGATAGATAAATCAATCGTTTACGTTATCCTCAGAATAACCATGGGGCTGATGCTCCTCGAATGGGAGTACTTTCCACTGGTAATGTAACCCTACCTAGCGTAAACCGAGAAGGTATTTCCTGACCGGAAGGATGTATTGGGATGTGCAGATAAGCATCTTGTAGATCTATACTGCCCATGTAGTCCATGGGCGAATCATCTGCCGTAGCTGCGGTAGATGTAGCATAGTGAACCTGGGTGGTTTGTTTAAGTAAAGTCTTGTTGAAGAAGCTCATGTTGTAAATGAGTCTGTATTTCTCCTTGGAGTTCTTCTTTGGCACTAGGAAAACTGGGGAGTAGAAACCTGGTTCGATGTTTCCTTGCTCTATTACTTCATGGCCTGCTTGGTTAGTAGTAAATGTAACCGCCTCTCTTTAACTTTAGTAGTTGTTGTGCCTCTACCTCGAACTTGTGAGGGTTGACTGTTAGTGGAGGCTTGGCCTGTAGTGGGATCACAAACCAGCTGTTGAAGAATGTTGGAGACATAGGTGTCTTGAAGTATTCCCCAGTTTTCCCAGTGTAGTTGAAGAGACGCCCACCCACTTGTGACGGCAAGGTTGTACTGGAACGGCTGGGGTGGAAGACTCCAGTCGTTCGAACCTGTCTTTCAGCTGTTTATAGTTGCGGAAACCTCTGGGTGTCCTGCCTCGGACCCTGACCCTCTAATTTGCCATAGCTAATACCAAAAGAATCTCTTCCCTTCTGAACTGGCAATCTTCCTGTCTCTAGCTCTTTGTGGTCCATGAATTTAGATCTCCTGAGTATCTTTGTGAAGTCTGTCGAATGACACTGGCTAAGCGTGTCCACCGATTTAATCATCAGTGACTTCTAGAATGTCCAGACTTCTTTGGAGACTGTGTCTATTCCTCCGTCAAAATATGGATGGGGAAGACCACGGGCTGTATATAGTGGAGCTGTAAAGTTCTCACCCAGTTGCAGGAAGCTAGAGGCCTTGACTGACGAGCTAAGGTCGCGTGCTGCTGAGACAGACGTCAGATGATCTGTTAAAACTGCTGGTCCTGGTCCTTTTGCATCAGTAGGGTCAGTAAATCATTCTGTCCTCTTCAGAGGTCGTGGTTCGAAATCTGGAGATAGAAGTGTCTCATTTATTGTTCTAGATCTATTTAGACCCGAAGAACATAAGCTTCGTCATGGTTTCTATCTGAACCACCGATCATCAATCTTGTAGTACTTGTTCTTGCATCGGAGATCAGCTTATATAGTTCTCTCATCGATGTCTTGCGCTTTGAAGAAGGGTTCCATATTATGCTGGAGAACTTCTTGGCGCTGAAATTTAACAGATGTGGCGCTCTGAACCTTTGTGGCTTTGTTAAATGCTGTATCTAGGTTCTGAGGTACCGCATAATCGGGCTTCAGATTGGCGGTAGTGTAATAGCATCTAAATCATCTTCTTTCATCAGATAAGTCTCGCCTCTATTGCCACTCTTGGAAGGTGATGAGAGATCTAGATTATTGACCATCCAATATCTTATCTCTGCATCTGAGAAAATAATTCCTCCATCATCTTCCATTCCATCATCATAGATAAGAGGTTGTTGCTCTTCTGATGTAGGGCTGTGTGGCTCTATCTCTATATCGTTTGACGCTTGTGGAGATCTAGTTGCCAGGCTTATGTGCAGACCTGTGAGGTGATCGACGTGGTGATCGGGCGGCAGGTGATCGCCTTGGTGATCTATATCGATAGGTTAACCTTCTTGGCGGCATCTATGAGGGACTGATAAAGCCAGCTCTTTTGTGTAGTCCCTTGCTGATCTTTTAGATGAAAGGCGATCTGGGTTCAGGTGTCCTTCACGACGCTGGCTTCGGGCTTAAGCCCGGTCCTGTCCGCCCAGTATCGATGATATGACCTTCGGCGAAGGCTTCGCGTGTGGTCTGGTGATCAGATTCCATATCTGGAGCATGACGTCAAGAAGGTGATGATTCTTCCCGCCACGGTAAGGCCTTCGGCGAGCTGTACATCTAGGTCCTTCGTCGAGGTGGTCTGTGACTTCCTTCGCTGGGCTGCATTGTCGCGGGCTGCTACGCTGACAGATGGTGCCCTGGGGTGCTGTCACGTTGGACGCTTCAGCCGGCTGCCCGGACCCTGGGATGGCTGCTTCCTCCAGTCTATAGTGGCCTTCCATCATAATCATGATCTGTTTCATAAGATCGCTTGGGATGATCTGCGGCACGAGTAGATGGTGCCCTTCTTGCTGTGTTAGCGGTGGGGCCCTCAGCGATCTCGCCTGACATCAGTGTAGAGGCATCAGGCCGTTTGTTGATCTCTGCTGGCGTCACTGTAAGCTGTCACTGAGTACGCTCTTGTGGCGTATGTCAGGTATGATGATCGGTGGTCATCGAGAGGAGCAATTCTGCTGCTGGGAACGATCTCGGCTCTGAGAAAGTTCTCGATGACAAGAGATTTCGCTTTGGAGGAAGAGCGCTGCCCTGGGGTAATGGAAGTCGCTTGAGAAGACGCCGAGGCCCTCTTGGACTTTGTTCTGGATGACTGGATGTCTGGAGAGGCGGGTGGCTTCTTAGAGGTGACGGACTGCATCCCACGCCCTCTTCCGATGGGGTCTCAAGCAAGAACACCAGGCGGGAGGGGATCACTCGACAGCAGTTGACTGGATGGGCAATCCGGACGTGCTCGCCATGTCTACACCCTAGTTTGCCGTGGACCTATCTGCAACATACGCCTCAAGACGCAAAGATGGTATTTATCAAAGGCAGAATTGGTTAAATTTATGCAGTAACTGCAACGTGAGTCAAACGCATAGGCAGCGAGTACAACTAGGGCATACCACATGCGGATCCGCGAGCGGAAAATCGTATCTACAAATAGTACAGTTTTCATCAATGTAAAACTAGCTGAACAATCACTCTAACTCCACGCAACGAATAAACAGTGAAATACGATTAATTTATTAACGCAAATAACTGAAGGATACTAGCTATACCTTTATAGTAAACTATAAAAGGTAACTAACTAAGAAAACCAAAGGATATAGTGTGTAAGGAGAACACAGGCTTCTCCTCACATCCTGTACTGAAGAAGAAGAGAGTGAAGCATGAGGCCAGAGGGTGGCGACACCTGTTCCCGCGCTTACGGCAGGGGAGGTAACTCGTGGGTGAGTACCAATTAGTGATTTTACAATGAAGGGAGCTTCAATTAAGGAGATACAAGTGTTCCACTATGTTCGCAAGAGGAAGGGGACAAGCAAAAGAGCATGAGTCAGGATAAGGAAAAATTATATGTTTTTGTCTACATATCAGAATTTTAAAGATTTTTCTTTAAATTTTGTAGAATTTCTAGTGCAATCGTATTGGCGTAGTTGGAGGCTAACATTTGTAGCGACTACGATAGATTCTAAGAGGTTGGCATCTCTGAGACTGACATTCACGCGACAAGGATAATAAATAATAATAATGAATGAAAATACTTTATACAGATAAGCACATCCAATATTGTGTCTTACCTATGAAGCAACTTTTCTGGCCGAGTGAGTTTAGCAGCAAATCCTTTGAGCTGCTTGTTGACTTTGAGAGCCATCCACGTAGAACTGGTCTGATCCAGACAACACTGGAACAGCAGCAACCACAGATACAATGAAACAAACATCCCTCTCTTAGAGGACACAAGTGGACAAATCAGAGCTTTGACAGAGCATGACTGACTCCAGTTAAACGCAAGTGGTGAAATGGGGTTTAACATCCGGTACTTAAGAATATTTCACTCATATGACGACATGCATGCGTGTGTATGTGTGGCTGCTTGTACTAGCCCAGACTTAAGCTGGTTTTATAGTGCTAGCTCACTGACTCTGAGCCGACAAGTCCTTGTTGTACCCATTAATGCTGAGCGCCAGGCAGGGACTAACAAGAAACCATATATCAACGTCTTTTGGTATGACGCAGCGGACGCTCTAACAACTACACCAAAAATGCAAGCCAAAAGAGTAATTCATGTGTGCTAAATACTGTAAAAGGACGCATGGTATCAAGAACTACCATGTTTGATCAAAATATGTGACCTCAATACTCTAAAAGATGAATCTCCACATGTTCACTCTGAGGCTGAGTGAGTATAGCTTTGGGCTGATTTCAGCACAATTCCATTCACATGAGTGAGTGAGTTTAGTTTTACGCTGCTTTCAGCAATGTTCCAGCAATATCACGGCAGGGGACACCTGAAATGGGCTTCACACACCATTCACATGAAGATAGGGGACTTCCCTGTGACGGTGTGTTTCAGTCATTAATGTGAAACAAAGTGAGACCATCAGATGATCTTCTACAAGAGCACAGACAGAGCCATACCGTGAGTGGAGTTTCGTTATTGTTGTTCCTCACTTCTACATCAGCACCACGGGCTAGGAGCAGCCTGAAAACAACAAAACATTCATAAGGCCTTTTTTAATTACTTGGTTAACAGAATTTTGTTTTAAAAATTAGTAGGTCGATTAGGCATATAACGCCAAAAAAATTTTAACAAGAAAAAATTGTGTCCAGGGACATGGATGCCCCGCCGCTGTAGGAAGCGCTCCCTTACACTGAATGTGCTCTGGTGATTAATTTCTACTAAAATAAATATCATGGTTGATTATAAAATAAATATATCCAAAGAGTCCCAATGAAACATATGTAGAAGCTCAATCAATTCTGTTGAGCAGATTTGTGGAGAAGTGGATAGACTTCATCCCCTATAACACTATATTCAGAGAAATTCAACAAAATTTATGTAAGTTCAAACTGCATTAAAATTGGAAAAATAAATAAAATACAAAATCAAAATATGAGATGCACGCCTTTAGAGTCCCTATAAAGCCCATGTGTAATCTAAATGAATTCCATAAAGTAGTTTTTGAGGAGAAGTGGATAACGTACACCCCCTGTTGGATGGAACCAACAGGCTGAATAGAACAAAATTCAACTAAGTTCAAACATCTGTAAAAGTGACAAAATTAAGAAATTGCATAAAACATTATGAAATGAACACCTTTAGAGTCCCTACAAAAGACATGTAGAAGTTCATTCAATTCTGTTGAGCAGTTTTTGTGGAGAAGTGGATAGACTTAATCCCCTATTCACTATCATCAAAGAGAAATTCAGCAAAATGTACTAAGTTCAAATGTCTCTAAACTTACAAAAAACCCAATAAAATACAAAAACAAAATATGTGATGCACACCATTAGAGTCCCCAAAACCCCATGTATAAGTTCACTGAATTCCATGAGAGCGTTTTTTGTGGAGAAGTGGATAGAGTACATTCCCTGTTTCGTACAGGGGGCATAAAAACAATTTTTATTTTTATTCCACTTTCTTCACATTTTGGGTCGGCGTATACGTAACCCAAGTAATAAAAAAAAAGGCCTAACATTGTACAATTTCAACATCAGCAAAACACTGCACCAGAAATGATTTAGGATTTGCTAAAGACATGAACTGTGACAATTACATTTGAACCCTGACACTGTGTTTGAAAACATTTCAATATCACCATTGGTCAACAATGCCAGCCTAATTTTAATTGTCGCTGATTAACCATCAGCCCTCCATATTGACAGATATAGATGCCTGTAACACCACAATCCATGGCCAGACTGGTCAAGAGATCTATGTCATACTAAACAATGGGTCTAACTTCCTTAAGATCCAGGTTGAGGTATCAAGAGTCTGCAGGCATTTACAGGACGCGAATTCCTGCGCCCTATATGGATAAAAATTGAAAATGGATGCAACGAAATTTAATAGCGCATCCACAGGGACACAGAAAAAGTCTAAATACCTTTTGTAAATTTTCAATCAAGTAACAATAAGTTATCACAGAGTTTTGTACTAGTTGGGTTACAGTATCATTTGCAATTTAATAACTGTAACAATGTGATGATCATGATACACAATACAATAACAGTAACTGAATTACAACATAGTATTAATAATAATATTTAAGTGTCTGGAATCCCCATTTTGCAGACCAGGACCCCTGAAAATTAAGTGAGTGAGTGACTTTAGTTTTATAGCAATATTCCAGCAATATCACGGCAGGGGACACCACAAATGGGATTCACACATTGTACCGAACCTGGGTCTTCAGTGCGACTCAGATGTTGGGGGCAAACATACAGACAAATCGACACGTCTGAAATCTTAAAAAGATATATGCAAGAACTCCTTCTACCTCTTTCAGAGTACCTCTGCAGCAATATATTATTATGTTGCCAAGTTTAATCAGTTAGATGATTTAAAAAGCGAAAGTGAGTTGTGATCGCTACGCTCAACTTCCCAGCGTAGACACTTGACTGGATAGAAAGCCAGCAAAGGGAGGTAATAAAATCATCGGGCCAAGCCGTGATGCATCCAGGGTATAGCGGAGAGTGATTGTAACATATACCCTGGAGATTATCGAGGATGTGTTTCAGTATGCTCAAGAAACAAGCATGGCCTCATACATCTAAGTATGCACAGAGACACAGGAGCACAGTAACAGGAAATACTTACACAACACTCTCATAGTGGTTCTGTCGGGCTGCTATATGTCTGCAAGAGGAAACAACAGTAATTGTATCATATGAACAGGTTATCTAAAACAAAGCAGAAATGCATAACCTTCTTTAGACTAACGCTTAGTCTCTGAATATATATAATTTTGGTAGTAACAAACAAACCCATATAAATTGAAAAGGAGCCCCAGGGAGACCAGAGATTCTTCATTTAGAGCTTTAGCATTGCAGAGAGGGCTTGGCAGTAGGGAAAATAATGTGGTTCAGGGACTGTGAGACAGACAAAACCTTCTGGATCGTTACATCAACATGATGCCTGTTGGCAATATAAGTTAAATTCATGCTTAATAGTGAGTGAGTGAGTTAGGTTTTACGCCGTGAATGCTTTAACCACTAAACTACCCCACCGCGAATGCTTTAACCACTAAACTACCCTACCCCATGCTCTAACAACAGAGTGAGTGAGTTTGGTTTTACGCCGTGAATGCTTTAACCACTAAACTACCCCACCACCCCATGCTTAACAGTGAGTGAGTGAGTTTGGTTTTACGCCGTGAATGCTTTAACCACTAAACTACCCCACCGCCCCCATGCTTAACAGTGAGTGAGTGAGTTTGGTTTTACGCCGTGAATGCTTTAACCACTAAACTACCCCACCGCCCCATGCTTAACAGTGAGTGAGTGAGTTTGGTTTTACGCCGTGAATGCTTTAACCACTAAACTACCCCACCGCCCCCATGCTTAACAGTGAGTGAGTGTGTTTGGTTTTACGCCGTGAATGCTTTAACCACTAAACCACCCCACCGCCCCCCCATGCTTAACAGATTCTGCAGTAACACAACAAACATATGGTCGGTAATCAGCCAATGATACACTTATTGAAGAACCTAAATACAAGTGTTGACAGTCAGCGGATAAAGCATGAGTTCTGCCAAGCTCACTTACAATGGTCGATCTCCGTGTTCATTGGGTGTGTCGAACTCACATCCTGAATCCAAAAACATCTCTGTGATGGCAACACTACCAGCGTAGGCTGCCCAGTGTAGGCCTGTGTTCTCCTCCTGCCAACAGTCCACATAGTGAGAGTGAGTGAGTGAGTGAGTTTAGTTTTACGCCGCACTCAGCAATATTCCAGCTATATGGCGGCGGTCTGTAAATAATCGAGTCTGGACCAGACAATCCAGTGATCAACAGCATGAGCATCGATCTGCACAATTGGGAACCGATGACATGTGTAAACCAAGTCAGTGAGCCTGACCACCCGATCCCGTTAGTTGCCTTTTACGACAAGCATAGTTGCCTTTTATGACAAGAATGGGTTGCTGAAGACCTATTCTACCCCGGATCTTCATGCGTCCCACATAGTGAGAAGGTTCATATAGGAGAACCATAGCAATACAGTAAATCATGAACAGCTGGAAACTCCACTTTACAAAGTGTCTACCGAGCGAGTCAGTGCCACACAATTAGTCATACTACAGCTATACAAACCCAGTCATGTTGGAGTGAGTGAGTTTAGTTTTACGCCCAACTCAGGAATATCACGGCTATATGGTGGCAGTCTGTAAATTATCGAGTCTGGACCAGACAATCCAGGGATCAACACCATGAGCATCGATCTACGCAATTGGGATACGATGTCATGTGTCAACAAAGTCAGCGAGCCTGACCACCTGATCCCTTAAGTCACCTCTTACTACAAGCATGGATTACTGAAGATCAATTCTAACCTGTATTTTCACCGGTCAATCATATTGGAACATTAGCATTCAGTCAAAATAAGTCTGACAACCCAGTGATGTGGGGAATGTTGGGGATTAGCCATTTTTCAGCAAGACAATCCAGTGATGTGGGGAATGTTGGGGATTAGCCATATTTCAGCAAGACAATCCAGTGATGTGGGGAATGTTGGGGATTAGCCATATTTCAGCAAGACAATCCAGTGATGTGGGGAATGTTGGGGATTAGCCATATTTCAGCAAGACAATCCAGTGATGTGGGGAATGTTGGGGATTAGCCATACTTCAGCAAGACAACCCAGTGATGTGGGGAATGTTGGGGATTAGCCATATTTCAGCAAGACAATCCAGTGATATGGGGAATGTAGGGGATTAGCCATACTTCAGCAAGACAACCCAGTGAAATGGGGAACATGAGCATGCAGGTCTACTTCAGCACTTGAAGTACAGAATCACAAGGATCTCTCAATAATGTGTATAGTCCGTTTGTCTCAAAATTGGACCGATGAATTGCAATCTAACTCGAACACTAATAAACATAAAATACTCAATGAAACGCTGATCATAATCAAAACATCATACCCACTCTGTGAGGTTTTGGCAGAATTTTTGTCCTAAAAATAAAAAAGTTGTTTAACAATCTATCATTAAAATATTGACACAGTTCACTATTTGTTACGAGGGAGGAGTGCAGAGAAAGGGACAGCCAGGTGTTCGAGAACGGATGGAGACGGCACAGCATTGGTTAATGAATAAATAACTTTGTCTGTGAACGTGCTTCTCGAACACTTCGCTGTCCCTTTCTCTGCACTACTCCCTCGTAACAAACAGTGAACTGTGTCAGTATTTTAATGATAGTTTGTTAAACAACTTTTTTAATTTTAGGACATAAATTCTGCAAACAAATCACAGAGTTGGTCTGATGTTTTGATTATGATCAGCTTTTCATTGAGTATTATATATTTATTAGTTTTCGAGTTACATTGCAATTCATCGGTCCGCTTTTGAGCCAAACGGACTATAGTTGGAGACATTATAGAAGCTGAGGGCACCAAAACCTTTGGAGGCTTTCAATTTAAACGTGCGATTTCAAATCTTGATTTGCCTATAACTATTCAGCTGACACAAGGCTATCTTTCTTGACCGACATAAACTATATTAGACACAGGCTACTCACAAACTACAAAATACCCTGTTGGTTCGCAAACAGTGGATGAGCTCTAAGTGTCCCCACAAACTTACATTATCCTTGACGGTTGGGTCAGCTCCCTGTGAGATGAGGTACTTGACAGTGGTAATAAGCTGTGACTCAGCTGCCCAGATGATAGGTGTCCATCCGCCATCATCCTACAAAGACAGTGTCAGAGGTGACGAACGAGTGAGTGAGTGAGTGAGTGAGAGTGAGTGAGTGAGTGAGTGAGTGAGTGAGTGAGTGAGTGAGTGAGTGAGTGAGTGAGTGAGTGAGTTGAGTTTTACTCTGCGCTCAGCAATATTCCAGCTAAATGACAGCGGTTTGCAAATATTCGAGTCTGGACCAGACAATCCAGTGATCAACAGTGTGAGCATTGATCTACGCAACTGGGATATGATGACATGTGTCAACCAAGTCAGCGAGTCTGACCACCCGAACCCGCTAGTCGCCTCTTACGACAAGCATGGGTTACTAAAGATCAAACGTAACCTGGATCTTCATGTGTCAGGGGTAACTAAATCCGGGAATACTGCTTACTGGTGAAAAGTTCTGCATGTCAGGAAAATAGTTCAAATAATTTTGGTGCATGAACATGATAAATATTCATTTATTCAATGGATCTGTGGCATATTCTTTCTGAGAAAGATACATCACTTTAAACAATGAAGCCATGTTTTTGTATGTTCTTCAGTGGGGCAGAATTAGTAAAAGTAGAATTTTGTTATTACAGTATAATCTCCTTGATGTTGTTGTTATAAGGGATTAAGTCACTGGGTGCTGTAAAATTCTGAACTATGTGGTGAAATATGAATTTACTGAGATCATTTTCCTGAGTTTAGCTCACTGAGATGATTGAATGTGAGTGGATATTGATTATAATGGCACTGATTAATGTGTTCACACAATCAATGTCAGTGAAAATGATTAATTTGTTCACTCAATCAGTGATATATCGTACACTTACGTATCTTACCATCAAGGTATGGTATATATACCATCAAGTTACAAGAGCTAGTACCATTTTCACAATGGCTCATGCACAGTTACAAGATTTCGATTACAAGGTCCTTCCTACTTCACATGGTGGTAGGTACTTGTGTGCTAAAGGTTACACGTAAACTTACTTCAGTGACTTGAATGAACACTGCAGGAAATGCAATAAAGTATTTTGGCGATCTTGCCTTCCCATAAAAATCAATGTTGTTAGAACCACAGTGACAGTGTAAGCACTAACCTGTGCATTAGGTCCAATTTTGCCACTCTCCAGCAGTAGTTTGATGACCTCAGTGTGTCCCGCCTTAGCAGCATAGTGGATGCAGGTCATCCCATCCTCCCCCTGCAGACACACGACCAGGGCAGACACATGTACTACAGTTAGTCACAATAAACATTTTAAACACAACTGGTTTTTAGAAAAACGGGCAATCAGTTTGGACTTGGAAAATGCAGTTGGGCACAATGTACGCTGTTGATCCTTACTGAGGGATCCAGCTGTGTAGAGCTACTTAATCATTAGGTCAGTTCAAGTCAGCGAGTGAGTAGGTGAGTTTAGTTTTACATTATTTAAAGCAATATTCCAGCAACATCACGGCGGGAGATATCAGAAATGGGCTTCACACATTGTATCCATGTGGGGAATCGAACCCGGATCTTCAGCGTGATGAGCGAACCCTTTAACCACCAGGCTACCCCACTGCCCCCGGTTCAAGTCAGACATGTCAGACTCTGATTTTCACACAGTCAGGAATTACAGGTCTTTAGAGAATCTCTGTACATTTATATAATTTTCAATATGGTGGACATATTAACACTGAAATTACAGTGTGTATAAACATCACAGTTGAAAGTTACCTTAAGAACTAAGAGTTTAACTGAACATAATCCATAAGTAACTGCACGTACCCGGTCATCCACCCTGGCCCCAACCTTCATGAGGTACTGTACAACGTTAGGCTTGTTATGTTCAGCCGCCATCATCAGGGGTGTCTTCAGTGTCTTGTCCTTCAGGTGAGTAGCTGCACCTGCCTGGACGAGGACGTGGACAATGGCCAGATGACCGCTAGCTGCTGCCCCGTGGAGGGCAGTCTCGTCATCATACTCCTCGTACTGATAATTGGGATCCACTCCATCAACTGTTAATCAGTACACCATCATGTAGAAGAGCAGAACCATCACAGTCAAGTGTATACAAATTTCATTTTCTTTATTTAAATACAATTCCTGTAATTTTAGAAACATCATAAGCATGATCCTATGGACACTTTGCTGCCCAAGCTATGACAACGTATCGATGACACTCACTCAACATATAGAGTAGTTTCTCCAGGTCTCCCTCATAGGCTGGCATGTACATGCTCCTAGATAAATTCCTGTACTTCTTAGGCCTGAAACAGAATAAAAATAGTTATAGTTTGACAAACAAAAACATTTACAAACATAAAAGAAGGAATTAGTTACGTTCTCATCAGTGTAAAATAGTGGTCCAAGGGAGACAAAATGTCTGATCAAAGAATTTTACAGAGTTACCTCCCTTTACCTATAAAATAAAACTCTTCCAACACACCATGGTCCCTCAAGAACTGATGTCATCATCTGGTTTCAAAATAGTATACACAAACATATTCCACGTCTACATTGCAATATTTCTTGTGATGAATATTAGATTTATAGAGGTGCCTTCAGCAATCAAACCTGTAAAAACATCGATTTTGTTCAGAATCTGAATTTTTGCACATGTTCAATGATAAAATACATCTAGGAATATTTCTTATTTATCCTTTCATCACCTTAAATACAATCATAAAACAAAAACAAAACTAAATGGGAAACTTTCAGTTTCAACAAAAAGACAAAGTCATCAATATCCCCAAATATTCTGCAACGGAAAAATACAACTAGTTATGACCATGTCAAATGTTACATAGTTCTTCACATTGATCTAATGAAAACATACATATGTACACTCATCCTATACTAGCATGCCTGTATCAACAACAGACTGCCTGAGTGCTTCTATGTTTTGATGATGATATTGGAAATAGAGTGGCACTATTAACTGTAATTAGGTTCTTGAATACCCGCAAAGTGGAAGGAGAGTAAAGAAAGGTTTTTAAGTTTTGCTCCAGAAAGGAGCACCACGACCAATTCCAGTCAAAGTAAAACTTGTTGCTATGGAAATGCAAAAAATATTAAATTCAGAAATCCAAAACTACCAGTTCACAACCAGACCTATCTATGTGCCAAATTTGGTGAAGAAATAGTGAACGGTTTTAAAGTTCTGATTCGGAAAAGAGCATCAACACCAAATTTCAGTCAAAGTGAAAGTTGTTGCCATGGAAACACAATTAATATTTCATTCAGAAATCCAAGACTACCAAAAGTCACCAGTTCACCACCAGATCTATGTGCCAAGTCTGGTGAAAAAACATTGAACGTTTTTTATGGTCTGCTCCAGAAATGACGAATTTTTACAGACGGACACACTCCCACTCTCCACCCCCCTCCCTCCCCAACCCCAACAAACACATTGCAGGGGATAACAATGGAGCCTAAGTGTTTATGTACTTTTGCTATAAACTGAAGGTCGGCCACTGAGATCTATGAAACAACACCAACCTTTCTTCTGTTAGGCTGGTCAGCATCTTCTCCAGATGGTGACGAGATGGACCTAAGGGGAGCCCCTCTGAAGACAGACAAAATACCATGATCAGCGCCATATGCAGCATTCCTCTAATGACAAACATGTTACACAACAATAGGAACATCCAGCAGGTTTCATTTCAACATATTTTCTTTGTGCAATGTAGAGTCTATCTGAAGTTAAAGCTCTTCATCCACAAAGTAATCTTCCATACTTCCACTGAGGTTTATCACAGTGACAAAATCTTTTTAGCAGAATGGGGCCCTGGCCTGTTTCCTGTGTAAATAGAACCTACCTGAAGATAAAGTCTTAGTGAAAGTAGAACCTACCTGAAGATAAGGTCTTAGTGTAAGTAGAATCTACCTGTAGATTAGGGCTTAGTGTAAGTAGAACCTACCTGAAGATAAAGTCTTAGTGTAAGTAGAATCTACCTGAAGATAAGGTCTTAGTGTAATTAGAACCTACCTGAAGATAAAGTCTTAGTGTAAATAGAACCTACCTGAAGATAAGGTCTTAGTGTAAATAGAATATACCTGTAGATAGGTCTTAGTGTAAATAGAACCTACCTGAAGATAAGGTCTTAGTGTAAATAGAATCTACCTGTAGATAGCTCTTAGTGTAAGTAGAATCTACCTGTAGATTAGGTCTTAGTGTAAGTAGAATCTACCTGAAGATAGGTCTTAGTGTAAGCAGAATCTACCTGTTGATAAGATCATAGTGTAAGTGGAACCTAACTAAAGATGAAGGTCCTGCCTGAAGATAAGGTCTTTGTGTACGCAGGACTAAGGTCTTAGTGTAAATAGAACCTACCTGTAGATAAGGTCTTAGTGAAAGTAGAACCTACCTGTAGATAAGGTCTTAGTGAAAGTAGAACCTACCTGAAGATAAGGTCTTAGTGAAAGTAGAACCAACCTGAAGATAAGGTCTTAGTGTAAATAGAATCTACCTGTAGATAGGTCTTAGTGAAAGTAGAACCTACCTGAACATGAGGTCTTAGTGTAAATAGAATCTACCTGTAGATAGGTCTTAGTGTAAGAACCTAGAACCTACCTGAAGATAAGGTCTTAGTGTAAATAGAATCTACCTGTAGATAGGTCTTAGTGTAAGTAGAATCTACCTGTAGATTAGGTCTTAGTGTAAGTAGAATCTACCTGAAGATAGGTCTTAGTGTAAGCAGAATCTACCTGTTGATAAGATCATAGTGTAAGTGGAACCTAACTAAAGATGAAGGTCCTGCCTGAAGATAAGGTCTTTGTGTACGCAGGACTTAGATCAAGATAAGGTCTTTGCTAATGGAGAATCTACCAGAAGATAGGCTGTGTGTGCATGCAGAACGTACCTGTAGATAAGGTCTTCAATGACGGAAGTGTGTGAGTTACAGGTGGTGTTGTGTCTGTGTCCTCATTCTCCTTCCCCCTCAGCTGAGGATACACAAATGCTGGTTTCACCTTGGATCTGTAAGCACAAATAGATCACTTGAAATTAAGCACATGCATTGATGCTGTACGTATGCAGCTATGCCACTAATACGCTACAGGCCACAACCCTCCCCTAGCCAGTGTGCACTCACATTGCCCTCCTTGAAGTATTCTTGCTGTCTGGAATGGCCATGGGCTGTGGGGCGTCACTGTAGCCCAAGCAGATTTCCATTTGAGCTGACTCTTCCCCACAATGAGGGCAGTAGTACTTGCCATCTTTCAACACCTGGCACAGCTTGTGGAAACTGTGCACTGACGTACCACCCTCCTTCCTACACTGGTAAAACTTGCCCTGAAACACATATGTCAAATATTAGTTTCTGCAACCTGTAATCAGACTAGAGATTTATGATTGTACACAATGTTTATCCAATCAACCTACCTGTGTGCAGAAATGTCCACAGCCCGGGCAGCACTGATGCAACTTGAGCCTTTTGCGATGGGCCTCGCACACTGCCATGAAGGGGATCTTGACGGCAGGACGCACCAACTGGTTGTTGCTCACCTTGTTGCAGCAACCCATTACCTGGAGCAGGTATATTAAGTCAGTAGGGGGGATAAAAGAAAAAAAGAAAAAATAAGGGGAATATGGAGATGTTATTTGCACACTTGAGTATATCGTGGTGTTATGAGTTCTGAAGATTTGTGCGATTTTCTTTTGTAAAATAGAAAATAGTTTCAAGGAATATTTGAAAGGTAATTTGCTATTTTTTATATTATTGTTCACTTTGTTTTTTATCAGGTAGGTGACATATACCGTATATGACCGTCTATAAGACGACCCCATGGATAAGACGACCCCCAAACTTGACCCTTAAAATCAGTGTCAAAATGGTATGTTTCGTGCATAAGTCGATCCCCGTCGACCACAGACAACTGGCAGTTACCAATAATTATAACTTTGGTCCACATTATTCAAAGAATTCACTGTCATATATATTGTGTCTACTCACGGATCGAAACGAAGTGTAGTTGACAGAAAATGCATAATATATTTTGCTTCTCTAAATATCATATTTATTGTAGCAACAAACTGGCTTGCTTATTTTACCCCATTCAACAATCACAAACTGATTACCGCCTCGTTTTCCATTGACTGCTAGTTTACAGTAACATCGGTAAAAATGTGTGAATTTAAATGGCTTCCTGATATTTTACCCCATTCCATGTGCTTACCACATTCATGAGGGTCCGTATAACCTTAGTGTTGATTATATATATTTTACATAAAAACTGTAAATAAAATTACACAATGCTAGGATATATTTCTTTGGGTTAAATAATAGTAGTTTGTATTATATTTTACTGACGACTGCGTCAGAATTCGTCCCGCTATATTATTGTGCATGTTTGAACTTGTTCGCCAGGAAACGGTAACAGCTGATTGCTATTTCCGCTCAAATACACACGGTAATCTTAATTAATTTATAGAGCAAAAACTGTAACTAAAATTACACAATGCTAGGATATATTTCTTTGGGTTAAATAATGGTATTCTGTATTATATTTTACTGATGACTGCGTCCAGAATTCGTCCCGATATTATTGTGCATGTTTGAACTTGTTCGCCGGAACGCGGTGCACAGCTGATTGCTATTTCCGGCTTTGTAATACTGACAAATACGCACGGTAATCTTAATCCCTGCAAATAATACAATGCCCAGCAAAAACAACTTAGAACTTAAGAGGTAAATAATCTTGTCTAGTGATGTTTAATTGCAAATTTGACGTCTCTACTGACAAAGTCGTCTTCTGTTGTTTGTTCACGCGAAGTGATACGATGTTGTTTTCTTACCCCTGGAAAAAAGTTTGACGAAAGCGTAACCCATGGATAAGACGACCCCCTTCTACAGACTGCTTTTTTGGTCCTCAAAATTCGGTTTATAGACGATCATATACGGTAATGGGAAAAAAAAAAGTAAAACAATTTATTTATTTTTTCCACTTTCTTCATATTTTGGGCCAGCAGATCAGTAACCCAAGTAATAAAAAAAAAGGCTTTCATTGTATCAACAAACACGGAGATTCATGAAAACAGGAAGTATTGTTGCTGATGTGTATGTGATTTAAATTTTTGCAATGGCCGAAAGGTCCACTCACCTTGCCATCCACAGAATCTAGAGCCTGACAGTAAGTGACGCCTGATGTGAGCTTGTTGAAGGAAGCACCATTGATCTTACAGCAGCACAGGGGAATGATGTCCTTGTCTGGGGATATGCCCATAGCTGAAGTCTAAAAGCAACACAAACACACTCCATCTAATGTTTCAGGTCAGACTTTTTCTTTTCTGCTTGGAGTATGAGGTACAAATATATAACCTGAAGATCAAACTTCTATCAGAATACATTAAGCATCTCCACAGCCTGCACTGAATAAAAACCTATGAAGCCTTAAAATTAAATTACACATAATGTTGTCAGAAATAGTTCAATAACAAAATAACCCACGGTATCATACAAAAATTGTGTTTTGTAATCAGAAAGCATCTGCAAGAATAACACAAAGGCCATGTGGGACAATTTCAGCATGATATTTACGCAAGTTAATACTGATGTGTGTGATTCGAAATTGGGTTTTACGTCGTGCTTGAGAATATTTCGCTCATATGACGACGTGCATGCGTGTGTATGTGTATGTGCGGCTGCTTGTACTAGCCCAGACTGAAGCTGGTTTTATAGTGCTAGCTCACTGACATACCATGCCGCAGTGAAGCATGAATACCCCACTCAGACACATTATACTGACTCCGAGCCGACCAGTCCTTGTTGTACCCATTAATGCCGAGCGCCAGGCAGGGACCAACAAGTACCATATTTTAACGTCTTTTGGTATGACGTGGTCGGGGATCGAACCCGCGACCTTCCGCTCTCCGGGCGGACGCTCTAACCACTACACCACGGAGGCGGTCGTTAATACTGATGGTTTTGGGGGCCTGTGAGAGCAATAAACACATCACAATGTACAAATCCTGACTAAAACTTTTCTCTGAAGGAATGAAGAAACGCATGCCGGTGAAATTCTCACAACATGCAAAGTAGTAATTAAAACTGTATAAATGAAATCCTAATCATTAACAAGTAACTTACAGGACAAGACGGCGGGTGGGATGAGTTATCACATGCAGTTCCATCTTCTGGAGTTTTAGGTGGGGTGACTGGATAACAAAGACCATTGGGTGTTGAGGCCACCTTGGTCTCTCTGCCATGTGGAGCCACAATCTTCTCCCCGTTACAGCAGTCAGCACCACCACCTTCCCGCTTCACCTGGCCTAACACTGGCATTGCAGTAGCACTTGTAGGACCTCTCGGTGGGAGGTAGGAGGACCCAGACACCAGCAGTGCACGTAATGCTTCAGAGTTTTTGGGGCCACATGGTTTGGGCACAGAGTTAACACTCCTACTAGCTGCCAACTGGCTGGACAGAAGCGCCAATGGTGAGGATACACATTTCACACCTTTCCCCATCCCAGGGGTGGATGTGTCTGTGGTTGGCTGACTAGTGGGTGTGGTGGTCACACTCCTCGGTAATAAAGACTTGAGGCCAACCGGGGTAGGTTGATGTTCCGATACAATGGTGACGACTGGTGTGATTGGACATTCCACGCCGTCCTCCATCTTCCTCTTCTTACCTGCAAAGAAACAATGCTCAGTGAGTGAGTGAGTGAGTGAATATGGTTTTACGCCACACTGAGCAATATTCCAGCAATATCACAGCGGGGGACACCAGAAATTGGCTTCACACATTGTACCCATGTGGGGAATCGAACCCGGATCTTCGGCATGACGAACGAACGCTTTGACCACTAGGCTACCCCACCGCCTAACCAGGATCACAAAAAAACAATCTTGCTTGCTCAAGTCACAGGCTTCTTCTCCATGTCCATGAAGAACTGTAGAGGGCCAAATGCACAAACGTGACAACACATATTACATAACACTGGTTAGGTCGAGAAAATTTACGTTACTTGCCACATAAATGTACACAGATGATGAAAATTTATCATTCAAAATTTGATTTGATCCTAAAACAGAGCAGTGACACTAAGAGGAAGATATATGATGAGACAAACCTGACAAGGAGTTGGCTGTGTCACCTGAGTCGTCCATCTCTGTTGGTATCGTTGTGGCGGTGGTGGCATCACACTGCTCATCTTCTGTAACAGCAAACAATTGGTAACTGTCGTCAATGTACCTTGCTGTGGACCTACACCTACTGGAGTCGTCACTAGAGTTGGGAATTGGTTGAAATCTCACAATTGATGATTGCTTCATTACCAACGAACAATCATCGAAAAGAAATTGGTTAGCGAGATTTTTCAGATTTTCCAATCCAGATTGTTATTGCAGATATGTATAACATGATGCAACTTGCTACTTTAAAGTGATGACTAATATATCATGAACATAAACTTCCTTGAGTCTTAGAGAAATATTCAGTCATGGCTTTTCAGTTAGTGAAGTGAGTTTTCTAAGAATTAAACACGCTTTCAGGCCCTGACAATTTCTAAGATATGTTCCATTGTCAAGTTTTTCAAAGACTAAAACAGTAGTTCCAAAATTATATATGTTCGATTATGAGAAAATGTGATCGATTGCTTGGTCGTTTGGTCACTGCGACCAATCTTCGATTATTTCAATTAATCGGAACACCACTAGTCGTCACTACTAATTCAGTACAGTCAGTACCATGTTTTCTTGGGTGTAGTGCACACTTTTATGTGGCTCTCTGTTGGTTTTCTTTTGTTTTATTTAGAAACTGCACAAATCACATTTGCTAATTTCACATCCAGTGTAAAATCATGCAACTTGCAACTTTAAAGTGATGACTAATATATCCTAAACAAAAACTTCCTGGAGTCTTCAAGAAATATTCAGTCATGACTTTTCAGTAAGTGAAGTGAGTTTTCTAAGAATTAAACACACTTTCAGGCCCTGACAGCTTCTAAGATATGTTCCATCGTCAAGTGTTCCAGTATGTCCAAAATTGTTTGCGTTCGATTATGACTGACTGAGTTTGGTTTTACGCCGCTTTTAGCAATATTCCAGCAACATCACGGCGGGGGACACCAGAAATGGGCTTCACACATTGTGCCCATGTGGGGATTCGAACCCGGGTCTTCGGCGTGACGAGCCAACGCTTTAGCCATTAGGCTACCCCACCGCCCCGTTCGATTATGAGAAAATGTGATAGACTGCTTGGTCGTCTGGTCACTGTGACCAATCTTCGATTATTTCAATTAATCGGACCGCTACTAGTATTTATTGTAGGTGCCATATCCTTACAAAGTCATATTTGTTGCAGATTGACTATTATGTCAACATAAGATTTTACCATCTCAAGCGCAGAAGCTTCAACTGTAACTTGGCAAAAAGAACCATATGTCAAAAACATATCCAAACACTGCAATCAGCTGTACCAAAGTACTACATTCGTACATCTTGTTGTTATCAGTCATCAGAAATAAAGTATCAACAAATTGTATTAATAACACACGTTAACCCTGTAGTTACACTATCCCGTAGTTAAATAGGGTGTTTGCATATCTAGACTAATATTGGTAATCTAGTTGATTAATTTTACTCAAAATGCCATTCAATTAAGTATACATTAACTGTGGAGCACAGTGGTGTAGTGGTTAGCATGCTGGCCTCTCACACCAAAGGCCCAGGTTCGAATCCGGTGGAGACACCAAAATTTTGTGACCTGTGTCTCATACTGTGTTGTGTCCCTGGGCAAGGCACTTCATCCACATTGCACTCAGTCCATCCAGCTGTTCAAAATGGGTATGTGAGAAGTGGATGTACGGACCTATACAGTCGCCAACAGTGCTTAGTAGCGGCTTTGAAAGTACAATTCTGTCGGGGTAATAATGTAACGCCAGAAAGCAGCATCGTGTTGGGATTCTAGGCGCAAAAATTAGCATTATGTTTTACAGCTTAAAGATGAAAATGCAGCAGAGAGGGTTCGGGTGATCCTGGCACAGTCAGGCTGGTAAGGCTCATCATCACCTCAGGGCCCTTGCCCCCTCTACACGCAGCCCAGACAGCGAATGGGACTTCTCCCAGGAAACACTGCCTAGTCGAACCCACCAAGAACTTTTGGAGAATATGAAGGCTCCCCAACACTGCAGCCTTCTGCATTACCCAGAATGTCAGAAGGGCTGTGCTCCCGGTGGAGAACCCGGGCACTCTCCTGATCTGCGCCAAGAGATCAGGAGGTACCAAACCTAGGGCACCGAGAACAATGGGGAGCCTGACGACAGTGTCAAGCGAGACATTTCAAAGGCGAGGTCCGCATATTTATCATGCTTTTCCTGAATCTTGCCAATCACATTGCTGTCAAAAGGGACAGAAAATTCAATGATATTATTTTTTTTCTAAAATGTCAGATTCAGAAACTTTTTTATTTAACACTGCATCATAATTCATTTCAGTTATATTATAAGGGTTTGTTGCAACTAAATCACCAGTAGGTGGGGGAACGTGCTCAATTTACACTGTCAAAGTCATTTTTTCTTGTTTCGTTCACATGTCGTTTTTTCACCACCAGAAAGAGTTTGATGAAAGTGTACATCAGTGTGCACAGCTAATTGCTGTTTCCAGCTGAGTTTATTAGACAATATACACACGAATAGTAATCTCTGCACTGAAGAGATATAATAGCCAAGCAGGAAATATAATTTAAACTGTGTTTTTATTCACCAAGTTTGTTAATACATATTCATTGATGTCTGACTTCACTGAATGATTCTGATGTAGTTGCAAATAATACTAAAATTATTTCTTGTAAAAATACTGAATAGTAGGGGTGAAACGGTACGTTCTTACCACGGTACGGTACATATTGCGTTACAAGGCCTTCGGTTTGGTCCGTTTTGGTTCGGTATGTGAGATATGATCATAATGCAGGAAATTGACAAGAGCCAAACCTTACATTGTTTTATGACATGGGACAAAAATAACGATAATCTTTGTTATTTTGAATGAACAAAACTGTCATTTTATAACTAGATAGTATTGAAAATACCACATTTGTGGATTGCATTACGGTATACCAAACCGAAGGCAAAATACTGCGGTTCCACTAATAACGCAGTATATTATTGGACCCCACTGAATAGCCTTCAGGTGGGGGTTCACATTATATTTGGGTGTGCTCTATACTCAAGGAAATACAGTAATACCTTGTGTTTTCCTTTTCCTGAGACTCTTTCTGAACTCAACTGATTCTTCCTCCCCATCTGAAGCAACACATCAGTGTATATATTTACCTCACACTACGACGAACGAGCAACACAAACAGTGCATAAGGAGACACTGAATGTTTGTTTTATGTTACTTATCACTTTCTACATCACGAAATGCAAAACAAATTAAGAACCTGTAATGTCACCTGTCATATATATAATGATGAATTTCAACTAGAGTCCGTTTGGCTCAAAAGCGGACCGATGAATTGCAATCTAACTCGAAAATTAATAAACATAAAATACTCAATGAAACGCTGATCATAATCAAAACATCATACCCACTCTTTGAGGTTTTTGCAGAATTTTTGTCCTAAAAATATTAAAGTTGTTTAACAAACTATCATTAAAATATTGACACAGTTCACTGTTTGTTACGAGGGAGTAGTGCAGAGAAAGGGACAGCCAGGTGTTCGAGAAGCACGTTCACAGACAAAGTTATTTATTCATTAACCAATGCTGTGCCGTCTCCATCCGTTCTCGAACACCTGGCTGTCCCTTTCTCTGCACTCCTCCCTCGTAACAAATAGTGAACTGTGTCAATATTTTAATGATAGATTGTTAAACAACTTTTTTATTTTTAGGACAAAAATTCTGCAAAAACCTCACAGAGTGGGTATGATGTTTTGATTATGATCAGCGTTTCATTGAGTATTTTATGTTTATTAGTGTTCGAGTTAGATTGCAATTCATCGGTCCGCTTTTGAGCCAAACGGACTATAATCTGGCTGCTATTGAATTTCAGCTATGAAAAAATTAACAAGGACCTTTCCATCAATGCTTACATTTTGAAGGAGTGAATATGAATTGCAGCCAACATCAGCACTGATTAAAGTAACCCAACCACATTCCACTTACCAACACAATCATGTTTATCTCCATCTATGGAATCTGATGTATCTGCTCCTGAAACATGGCACCACATCAATGAACATTATGTGCACAAAGTATGGACACACAATATGTTCAATCTCCCAGTGCTCTTTCAAGTGTTTCCACTGGCATTTTTTACAGCTGGACATTGTGACCAGCTTGCATTTCAAACACTGGTTATTTGTAAATTTTACTGGTTAAGTGATCACCCTTTTCTTTGTGCGAGACCTTGCACCCTAACAACCAATCAGAAATGTAGAGGGTATTGCAATGCGTCAATGCAGCTATTTTTAGCCTGGGGTTTTCCAAAACTGCTATTATCTATTTGACAAGACCTCGATGTCATTGTGAAAACTTAATCTTTTTCGATGAAAAATAAAATTGACAGATGTAATTAGAAAATATATTTTAAAATTTGCCGGACACAATGACAGACAGCCTTTGAAATAACCAGGCATTCTAACTTTGTACTGGAAACACTGTTGAAACTATGTGCACTTTTCCCAACCTACCAGTAAATACATGGTAAACAGTTAGTTATGAAATAGAAAGACAAATCATTAATCTTTCTCATCTGGCTGTTACACAACCATGGTGTCTATCAGGGTTACTAACAGACTACTCTTGCCAGTTAAATCCAACTCACTATCTGACTGACTCCCCTTTGCCTGAAAAGAAAAGAAATGAGAGTATTTTAGAACAAACATGATTATATCCTCATGGTTATGTATACATATTATATTTAGAAACTCAGAGCAAAAACACATGAATATGTGGATCAGTATTACATTAATATGTAGTGTGATTGAAATGTTCAGAGCCTCACGCAAAAAGATTTGACCAAAAAAACAGTAAAATTATTGACTTTTCAATATAATGTCTTTCCATAATGACAAAAATTAGCCAACAATGTTGAAGGGATATTAAACAAATTTCCAGAGGTCCTTCTCTGACATGCCCTAACACGAAGCAGAACAAGCTCCATATATTGTGTGTCCTGAAGAATAGGGTCCACCATACAGACACTCCTGCCATCCTGTAACATAGCGACCATAACCCTTCCAACTGATGGGAGGGTCATTGTCTGGAACTCAGGTTTCAAATCATTACCAGAACCTGTCTAGATAAGCTTCAAACGGATCTGGATTATCACATATGATTGGTGCATCAATTATCAGATGGCAAGAGTCTTAGAACCCAAAGTGCCGATTCTTTCTTCATTGTACACCTCTCTGTAAAATTTTGCTCTCGCTTAGGAAAAGCCTACTGACCTAGCTACAAGACATTCCGTCATTCACAAGTACAGTCCGTTTGATTTCATTGGAATTTCTAACTAAAACAAATTCTAACACGAAAAAATTCTGTCCATGGACACGGATACCCCCGCTGACATTCATAAGACATATAAAGATCAATAATTGAACAAAATTCACGAACAAGTTCAATAAACATCTATGCAACTATGAGATGCACACCTTTAGAGTCCCACCGAGGGTAACCCTATATGCCCCCAGCCATATATGGCGGGGGCATAATAATTGCAATAACACAAATTTTTGCACAGTCACATGAAATCGTCAGACCAACTCTGGTGATTTGTCTCAGGTGTGCGAGTTGCACGTGGGAAATTGAAATTTTACTACACACCTGATTCCCTGGCTGTTCTACCAGTAAGTGGTACACCCTCGTAAAACAAAACAATGACCATTTGTTAAACAATTTTTTTGTTCAGGTGTCCAAAATTGTGAGACAAATCATCAGAGTTGGTCTGTAGATTTCATGTGACTGGGCAAAATTTGTTTTTTTTGCAATAATTAGATTGTGTGTTAGTGAGCAATTCATCAGTCTCAAATGTAATCAAATGGACTGTAGATGATAACCATATTGTGGATTCTTTGGATCATTTCATTTGTTGCTTACACCACAGGTCTTCCAGGACAGTGGTCATCTTCCAGGCTCTCCCTGCCATACATAGACTCCGCTGGCCACCAGCTCATAGTGGCCCAGGTTGGGGCATCCTAATGTATATTCCTTCCAAATTGCCAAGTGCAACGTAACCCTGCTTATTTTAAGTACTTGCCTCAGCGAAACATCAGACTCAATTTTGTGTGGATTTTCCTTTATGACCTTTTGTGATGCAGAGCATTTCCAATTACGCATTGAAAAGTAATTGTTGCGTACCAATTACGCATTTAAAATGTTAGATACGCAAAAAGTTTAAAACAAATGCGTACAGAATATATTTATAAAAATTGCTTGCGTAATGAAAAAGACATCGATTGGTATCAAGTTGTACTGTTAGTATAGGACTAGTGTTGTACTATCAGTACAGGATGAGTTATTTTTATTAAATCATTTCCATTATACTTAAGTTTGGTTTTGATTAGGTATGCCATAAGGCTGTACATACCTGCTTAGTAAACTTACTCAATGACATAATACTTAGGTGAGTAAAATGACTAAAATTCGCACATATTTGAAAGCAGTGGGTAACGGAAAATGAAATACCCACTCAACATTTATAATACCCACTCCAAGAAAATACAGTGGGTACAGTACCCACATAAGCTAAATCTTATCTGGAGCTCTGGTGATGTCCACTGAATGACTGCAACGCAATTCCTTATGTGTAAGGGTCAGAACTTCTCAGCCTGATGCTCACCCTAACAGTACACCACTGCTGATAATGTAAATCATATCAGGGACCCCAGCTGCTATGTTTCAGGTACTGAAACGACTAAGGGCCCATTTGATTATTAGTAGAATACCTACAACTTCTATTGCAAAATTGCATAGTCTGTTATACATTCTATTGTTGCCTAGAATTCCATTATGCTTGTAAATGTGAAGGTTTATGTGCCAAGAACATGCATTGATGTTTCCAATAATTAGCCTGTTCATGCTTCTGCAATATACAATGCACATCAGGTAAAAGATGAAGCGCATGATCATTGTGTCAATGGGGATGGTTTCAAAGTTGTTAGTGCATTATTTCCTGTACTGTATTATTTTCCATTGATGTTTATATTTGGAAATATTATTTTCCATTGATGTTTATATTTGGAAAATATACAGAGAACATACCGAACTTTGTAAAACTTGAAGTGGAAATAATTATTATTTCCTGTACTTGTATATGATCACAGGAAAAATCTCATGACATGGGCTAATAAATACGAATTGCTATTTAACAAATAGAATACAAACAAATATCAACTACTGAGATCAGTATTTGACACACAATACAAAACTGCAAGTTTCCATTGAAGTAACAAGCCATATACAGAGGCCCAGGTAAGCTGCGTATCCGGGTAAAATACGCATAGAAAATTTCCAATTACACATCGAAAAATAATTGTTGCGTACCAATTACGCATTTAAACTGTTAGATACGCAAAGAGTTTAAAACAAATGGGTACAGAATATACTTATAAAAATCGCTTGCATAATGAAAAAGACATCGATTGCTGTCAAGTTGTACTGTTAGTATAGGACAAGTGTTGTACTGTCAGTATAGGATGACTGATTTTTATGAAATCATTTCCCTTATATTTAAGTTGGTTTTGATTAGGTATGACATAAGGCAGAACATACCTGCTTAGTAAACTTACTCAATGACACATTTACTTAGGTGTGTAAAATGACTGAAATACGCACATATTTGAAAGCAGTGGGTAACGGAAAATGAGAATACCCACTCAACATTCATAATACCCACTCCAAAAAAATACAGTGGGTACAGTACCCACATTAGCTAAATCTTATCTGGAGCTCTGCATATACATACATATACATTTATATATGAACCCATTTAAACTAAAACAGCCTGTATGCTACTATAAACCCAGGGAAAGAAACCTTTCAAAATTTTCAACTATAGGAACAGTAAACACACCCACAATAAGTAGTGGTCCTGTCTGTACTTCACTGGTCCAAAATAACATTCACAGATTTACTGAACTATCAATACAAAATTCACTGGTCACCAGCACCACTGCAAACTTGTCATTTAGTGGTCCTGATGAATTTTTACTTGCCATGGACCACAGGACCAGCATAAATTCCACACACTGTAAACCATGGCATGAATGTTTACAGGAAAGCTGTTCAATACAACTTGAGACATGCCAAATTTAAACAGGGTTATCAAACACTGATAAACTTAAAATTTATGTAGATTTCAGGGTTTTACATGACGCATGATTCCTGCGTATTTGACGCAACAATTTTGTTAACGACTCTCAAAATACTATCATATGAGTCAGGCTTGACGCAAGTTTTATAGGTGGCCGTAACGATTCAGTTCAATAAAATCGATTTGATAAGCAAACAATGATATTGTTTGATGATAGTGTGACTTTTACAGAGCTGTCAGATTGTTCCAGAGAACACAGAGGAGACAGTAATCCTGGCTGTTTGAATTTAACAATGCTGTAGTTTCATTTGGTGGTGTGACATACACAGTTACATACTGAGAATGATAAACACAAGAAATATTAAATTTTCATGACTCCCAAATATTGAAAATGACTCCCAAATATAAATATTGTGAGTCACCATGACTCCCATTTTTAAACGTCTGTGTAGAACCCTGGATTTCTAGTTTCAGGTTAACGATCAAGACACTGTGTGACATACTTAGTTCCAACAGCGTTTCAAATATGAAAGGCCTAAAATGTTTATCTAGCTTGTTTTTGGCACAAAAAACTTTCACACTAATAAAAAGGTTTTTGATGACTATACGTACTTACAAAAGGTTGGATAAGTGTATCTAAACTTAGATTTGGTTGTGAATTTTTGCCGACATTTTGTGAAAATAGCATGAAATGAATGAATATTTCCTTGTTTCTTTTATTTTCTTTGGCAGGTCCATGGAGACAAACTTGAAAGTATGTCCAACGTTTCTGAATCCTTTGTGTTACAGAATTAGTGAGTGAGTGAGTTTGGTTTAACGCCGATTTAGCAATATTCCAGCAATACTTGCGGAGGCATGCCAGAAATGGGCTTCACACATTGTACCAATGTGGGGAATCGAACCTGGGACTTCGGTGTGACGAGCAAACACTTTAACAACTAGGCTACCCCACCGCCCCTTACAGAATCCGATGCAACTACAAAGAATGCTGTGATCATGTGCAGTCAGTACCATCGGCTCATGGGAGGAACATCAACTGGTGCAACCTGTGCCTCTTCAAAAAGCCAATGCAGAAAACTTCAACTATCATTTGACCAATTGCCTACATTCAAAACATAATAACTCCCATCTCAAGGCTGTGCTATTCTCTCAGCCGACCACCAGTACACCTTTGACTACATACAAAATACCCTTACCTAAAGCTGTAGTCCACCCATTACCTAACACTTCTGACAAGAAAAGTCTAAACAAATATTGTTTAATCAGTAATGCCCATCTCAAGGCTGTGCTATTCTCTCAGCCGACCACCAGTACACCTTTGACTACATACAAAACACCCTTACCTAGGGCTGTAGTCCACCCATTACCTAACACTTCTGACAAGAAAAGTCTAAACAAATATTGTTTAATCAGTAATGCCCATCTCAAGGCTGTGCTATTCTCTCAGCCGACCACCAGTACACCTTTGACTACATACAAAATATTCCTTACCTAAAGCTGTAGTCCACCCATTACCTAACACTTCTGACAAGAAAAGTCTAAACAAATTTTGTTTAATCAGTAATGCCCATCTCAAGGCTGTGCTATTCTCTCAGCCGACCACCAGTACACCTTTGACTACATACAAAACATATCCTTACCTAGGGCTGTAGTCCACCCATTACCTAACACTTCCGACAAGAAAAGTCTAAACAAATATTGTTTAATCAGTAATGCCCATCTCAAGGCTGTGCTATTCTCTCAGCCGACCACCAGTACATCTTTGACTACATACAAAATACCCTTACCTAACTAAGGCTGGAGTCCTCCATTACCTAACACTTCTGACAAGAAAAGTCTAAACAAATATTGTTTAATCAGTAATGCCCATCTCAAGGCTGTGCTATTCTCTCAGCCGACCACCAGTACACCTTTGACTACATACAAAACACCCTTACCTAGGGCTGTAGTCCACCCATTACCTAACACTTCTGACAAGAAAAGTCTAAACAAATATTGTTTAATCAGTAATGCCCATCTCAAGGCTGTGCTATTCTCTCAGCCGACCACCAGTACACCTTTGACTACATACAAAACACCCTTACCTAGGGCTGTAGTCCACCCATTACCTAACACTTCCGACAAGAAAAGTCTAAACAAATATTGTTTAATCAGTAATGCCCATCTCAAGGCTGTGCTATTCTCTCAGCCGACCACCAGTACACCTTTGACTACATACAAAATATTCCTTACCTATGTAGTCCACCCATTACCTACCTAAAGCTGTAGTCCACCCATTACCTAACACTTCTGACAAGAAAAGTCTAAACAAATTTTGTTTAATCAGTAATGCCCATCTCAAGGCTGTGCTATTCTCTCAGCCGACCACCAGTACATCTTTGACTACATACAAAACACCCTTACCTAACTAAGGCTGTAGTCCCTCCATTACCTAACACTTCTGACAAGAAAAGTCTAAACAAATATTGTTTAATCAGACATGCCCATAACACCATTAGCAAAAACACAAATGATAATTATTCGAATTCTATGCTCCAGTCCAAAAAGGCTGACTCTCTGCAACGCTTGAGTCGAAATTGACTTGTGACCTGACATAAATGTCACTCCTTCCTCCATGAGGAGCACTTGACCATTCCACAATTCTATAGGAACATCATCTGCACATCAAGGCAACTTTCTGTGTCTGTTTTGGAAGTGATAAGTCTACCAGGTTACCATTTCAGAAATGTTTTCATCAGGAAATATCATATAACAGACAAAACAACTGAGGCGGAAAGAATCTATTGTCAAAACAAATTCAACACCACTGTGAAGGGAGGGGTTGACATAGCCACAGAACCCTAGCTGTAAGCTTTCACATGCAACAGTGCAGTTCAGAATAATTTCAGACCATTTCCCCAAATGTCACGCCTGACTACATTTATACAACATATATGATATAGAAATAGTGATCTTGCTTTGACAACAAACAAGTTAAAGCAACTTTCTGAAGACACTAAACGTACATGTATACTACATTGATGTTTCACAAAATATGAAAGATAAAAATGTAAAACCACTTTTACCAATTCAGCCTACCATCAATCTTATGTCACATACTTTGCATTGCTTAGTTCGACAAGATACTTCTAATAGGAAATATCATTCAGTGTCTGCCATTATTAAATGTGTGCAAGGAAGGGAGGTAACCATTTTCCAGGGCTCTGATAAAACATGGCTATTGAGGAGAAACACTGCAGAAAAAGGAACCAGGCCTGAATTACAACTTTAAGCACAAATATATGGATAAGATTTGGATAGTTTTACGCTGCTTTTAGCAATATTCCAGAAATATCACGGCGGGAGACTCCAGAAAAAGGCTTCACACAATGTAACCATGTGGGGAATCAAATCCGGGTTTTCGTCGTGACGAGCGAACGCCTTAACCACTAGGCTACCCCACCACCCCTCCTGTTAAAGAAAGATCTTAGTGTATGTTGTTAAACCCCTTATCAGTAACAGTGAGTGAGTGAGTTGGGTTTTACCCCGCTTTTAGCAATATTCCACCAATATCAAGGTGGGGGACACCAGAAATGGGCTGAACCCTGTTTTTCGGGTGACGAGCAAATGCTTTAACCACTAGGCCACCCCAACACCCCCTCATCAGTAACGTAAGATTTCTGTTAGAGATGTCGGTCAGTAACCTATCCTGGACAAACTAATGGAAGAGTCAAAGCAGAGCCAGTATCTTCTGGTCCTCAACAATCCAAGAAGTATTCACAAACATCAACCTCCTGTAACCACATAATCTCCTTTCTCCTGGGATACAAGGGTCATGAGAGAAAAACAACACTACTCACATCACTATCTTCCTGCTGCCTGTTAATTTGTGATTTCCGCAATGAGTTCAGCAAATCCATCACACTTTTCCCATGCGGAGAAGTAGAAGTCCTAATTTTTTTCCGAGCGGTTATTTTTGTCTTTGCTGCTGCCTTGAAAGCTAAATGGGAATTCTGTGAGAGAACAGCCATGACATCAGTAGCACTGCTGTCTCCCTTAGGGGTACATTCCGTGCTGCTGTTGAAGATGTCATCATTGTCAACCCGATCATCATATCCATCCATATCATCCAAACTAGCATTGCTGCTCACACTGTGGTTACAACTATTGTCTAAACTATCATCCAGTTTCTTGAAATACTTTTTCTTTTTCTTTTGGCCGGGGAAACTGTAGTTTCCTGCCTTAAACTTCCTCTTCTTCTTCACCTTCATTCCACTCTTATCGTCAGTTCGACTTTCCCCTGCGGAGTCGTTATTATTGTTCATGAGATCCTCTTCACTGCCATCCTTCCTATTGGAATCAGATTCTATAACCTTATCACATTTTAAAGCACTTTCCAGGTCAGCCAGTTTCACTGTCCTGTTAGTTATAGGTGCTAAGTTAACAGTCTTTATGGAAGTTTTAGCTGATGATTGAACAGATTTTCGAGCTTTCGGCAATGTTTTTGTAACACTTGGTTTTCCTACAATGTCCTTAGATGAATTTGGAACACTTGAATTGGCAGAAAGCTTCAATGTTATTTCTGAGTCTACCTTTTTCTCCCCTACAACACCATTCGTGAGCTCAGTTCTTTCCGTTTCCAAAGCTGCACTAGTGTCTGTAGACAAAGTGTCATTTGTGGATTCGGAGCTTTTGGAATCACAGTTTGACAAACAGGATATCCCAGAATCAGTCCCATCATTTACTTCATTCTCGGAAAGATTGGTACTAAGTTGCACTTTGTGGAGACTGTTGCCTATTGGACAATTGTGAGGTTTGTCTCCCCCGGGCTGCAGCCTCCCTGGCGACATCTTGGCACGGGGCTCCCTCTTCAACATGTCTTCCTTAGTTGGCTTTGATTGGTCAATGGTAGCTACATGATCTATATATGGCGTGCCATTGGTTGGATTATTTTCAACTTCTTTGGGTTCACTCTCATCTGCAGGATCAGTTGTCTTGTCAATCCCATCCCCCATCTTCATACCCACAAAGTTTATCAAAGCAAGATCATCCTCTGATGAGCCATTCAATACATCCTGGCTACCCGTCGCTGCATGTTTCTCATCCAAAGGTACCTCATCCGTTTCTGAGGGAACGTTCTGAAACAGGAAAGCAAAAATAAGAAAATCATCAAACTTTAGTTGAAATATTTTAGAAGTGAAATAAGAGTTTATTTTAACCCTTGCTCATTGTGGTTATTTGTATGAGTGAGTGAGTGAGTTAATAAGTATCCATTTATCAGCCCCCTTGGCATTTACTTCTATGATGACTGACTGACTTTAGTTTTACGCTGCTTTTAGAAATATTCCAGCAATATCACGATGGGGACACTAGAAATGGGCTTCACACATTGTGCCCATGTGGGGAATCGAACCGGGTCTTCGGCGTGACAAGCCAACGCGTTAACCACTAGGCTGCCCCACCGCCCCACTTCAATGATGAAATCCATGGTGCCAGAAATAGGGCTGCCAAAGCGACAGTTGATTCTTGCCAACCTGTCGAACACAAACGAGCAGAAAAACACAGAAGGTTGGTCCACCACAGGCAGATGTCACTGTGCAATTGTTCTGAATGGTGTCTTAGGGCACCAGAGACTGACTGACTGAGTTTGGTATTACGCCGCTTTTAGCAATATTCCAGCAACATCACGGAGGGGGACACCAGAAATGAGCTTCACACATTGTGCCCATGTGGGGATTCGAACCCGGGTTTTCGGCGTGACGAGCCAACGCTTTAACCACTAGGCTACCCCACCGCTCCAGGGCACCAGAGAAATAAGTTAGGTTGTGCCTTTGTGAACGTAAGTGTGGCGATACCTTTTGATGATCTAATAAAACTCTAAACATTACAACAACTATCAGTGTGCAGTGTTCACGAATGGTGTTTCAAAGTAACAGGACATTGGGTCCTGTAAGTTTCAGATGTCTGTCTGACCCATTGAAAATTCACAGGACCCATAGAATAAAATTAAACACACATTTCAGATTAAACATTTCTTATAATTGGCATTGAAAATATAAACAAACATAAGATTTATAAACAGCAAACAAGTGACACATGTCACATATAACAACTTCAGTCAAAGTCATTTGTGAAATATACAGTCAGACACTGGGGCTGGCGGGTTGTAGACTACTGTCGGACCGTTGGCAAATCTACCAGATTTGTCAGAGGGTCAGATGTTATTGTGAACACTGAGTGTGCGAAATTTACGCTTGTCCTGTGGTCTCTGGTTAGCAAAAAAACACCTGTTTGTGCTAATCTGTTGACATCTGGGTAGTGTTGTATTTACACCCTATCAAGAAGAGCAAGATCCAACAGCCTCAAAACAAGAGATTGAAAAAAAAGCAAGCAGCTGCAGTGTGCAAAATTAACGCTGGTCCTGTGGTCCCTGGCCAGTAAAAATTCATCAGGACCACTATATGAAAAGTTTGCAGTGGTCCTGGTGGCCAGTGAATTTTGTATTGATAGTTAATATGAATGTTATTTTGGACCAGTGAAGTACAGACAGAACCACTAGTTATTGTCCACTCAGTGGTCCTGAGGTCTAATGGGAAATTTTTTAACGTTTCTTTCCCTGAACTATGCCATTTCAATTTATTGTTTGATAAATCAGTAAACATCATTAAACCTGTAAACATGTGGGCTGGATTTCATGAACAATATCAGCTTTATTTGTCCTGGACCTATGATAAACTAACACCCGTTACCCTCCAAAACAGGATTTCCTGTTATACTCACTGGCATTCAAAATGGCCACTCATATGTTAAACTGTAAGATTGAGTGTGCCACTGAAAAACAAGTTCACAAGGTGCAAAAATAGGTATTGTATCATTTTAGTTGGTCAAATTTATTACATTAAATGAATCATGGCATTATTTTCATAATTGTAATAAACCTCCCACAACTGCAGTTGGTTCAGTTTTCGGAAAGCGAGTCAACTTTCAGAAAGAAGACAACCACTTTATCAAGGCAGTAATGGTTACTCTCACATTCAAAACGATGCTGGACATTTCCTCTTGCTGTTCAGTTGCCTGACGTTCACATTTATCAATGAAAATCTGTGATTGGACAGGGGCCCCCTAAATTTATGCCTTCATTGCAATATTCCAATATTTTCCCCCCAATTTGATTTCATGAAAAATATAAGTGTATATGAAAGACTTTCCATCCCTATTATGAGTTAGATTTTTAGCACAGTGAGGGCAATTGTACCATTTCAGCCAATCACACCACCTGTTTCACCAGTCAGTTACAAGGTATAACACTCAGCACATATACTTGGTGGTGGCGCGTGGTCCTGTGCATAGAGCTCAGGTCACAAATCAGGTGAAGTTAAGCAACGTTAGGCTCGGAGAGTCCTTGGATGGGTGACTGTGTTTGGCAGTTTGACTCCTGTAGGTTTCTGGGACTTCAGTCCTGCCCCACAACGAAGCACATATGGGAGTTTGGTACATGTGGTCTCATCTTAAGCAAGTGAGTTTGTTCAAAATTGCCTCTGTTCACCCAGCAGAAAATGGGTACCCCCTGGGGTAAAGTCGTGACTATAACCTGTTAGTGCCTAACAGGCAACTTTGGTTATCCGGTAAATAATAAGAAGATTGTTTGGTCGCTTCGAGCATGCACTGTGCATGGAGCAAAGCGCATGATAAATGGACTGTTTTTATTACTTCTAAGCTTGCTTCAAAGTTACTAGAGCAGAAGGTATATGTCTGTCAGAAAATAAGCACAATCTGCACACTGCTCACTTATCATGTAATTTACATGCTTGTAGAGCAAGTTCAGCAAAGTTAACGCAAACACTCCATGTCATGAATGATATGAGATTTGATTGTGTTGGAAATCCATTACCATATCGCCATACAAATTTGATAAAACTGATACATCAAATCTTTCCCATGAGCTAGAAGCCTAACCTAGAAAATTTTAAATTCCAAGTTGGGTTTATAGACAGAATATATGGCATGAAAATTGTGTCCAATCTGCAATGTCCTGAAAATGAGTCTCATGCTTACTGCTCAGTCACAAGGATGAAATGATACAGCAAGCTCCCAATATATAGGTCATGATATTAATGTCCAGTTGTGGGGAAACTTGTTGGCTAAATACTTCAGATTAGTTTCATAAAGAAAGGCAAGCTATAAATACAGGTAGAAGCGTCCATTTACTGAAGCTGAAACACACTAATTACAACATATTTTTTCATATTTGACCGACAAAACATCTGGTTGCTTCTGAAAGAGTTGTAAGCAATATATGTATCAATACAGAAAAATACATATTGTGTGCTGTATTGTCCCGCGAAAATTCAACATGCACTAGTGCACCAATATATTGTTCCAACCCTACATACTCACTCACTTTAGAAATGGAAATGAAACTAGAAGAACAGTCATTGTCACAAAGTGAGTTTACTTTTACACTGCTTTTAGCAATATTCCAGCAATATCATGGCAAGGGACACCAGAAATGGGCTTCACACATTGTACCCATGTGGGGAATCGAACCCGGGTCTTTGGCGTGACGAGAGAACACTTTAACCACTAGGCTACCCCATCACCCCCATTGTTACAAAGACTGTGAATTGTAATATATTGTCCTATTTCTGTATTTCAACTCTCACCTGAGCACTGATCAGGTGCTTACATAAATTACAGTTTGTGGTCTACAATCTGAGGCCCTGCATCTCAAGACCTATGACTTCACACATTAGCTGCTTAGCAAATAATCAATAATCAACAAGTGACGTAAGTTTCCATACCAAGCAGTCTAATATTATTTTTGCCCTCACTAACATAGGGTAGCAATCTTTCAATAGAACACTGACAAACAGAGTAAAGGCGAGAGACTAAGATGCAGGTGACTGTGTTGGTGAAGCTACAAAACATTCATTTGTCAGTATTATCAACAACATCAAAATTTCCTGTGACTTTATTGTAACAGAATACATCACAGGAACATGAGACCATTATTAAATATATCATTAGCATTTCGCGGAAACAAACAAATCCCATGTATTGAGAGACTGCACCTGCTCTAGAGGTCAAAAGCCTATCAGTAGCATGCATACCATAGCAACAGGTCCAGCCAAGGCACCACTTTAACCACAAGGTCCTTCAATATGATGTAATCATTGATAACATGGGTGCTACAATAACTACTGCTTTCAGTTTATGCCTCAACCATAAAAACTGGGTACATCTCTTTGCCTTGCCTTGCCTTGCATTCTTTCAACAAAATATATTCTGCCTTGAAATATATGTGTGTGTTCATGACACTGCTTATGAGATACAAATATAACTGACAGATTATCATGGATGAAAACACACCATATGGTCTCTTCCTCCTAAATGATCAGTCCAACCGCACCACATCTATGACTGGAACTTGAACACGGTTTTAGAGGAAATCTTTGTCAAGGGCATGTGACAACAAGAGTTCAAACATGAGTGTGGTGTCTGAAGCTGAAACTGTGCTCCCACCAAACACGGATAATTACAAATCAGTTATTCATTCCTATCATCTGCAGTGATCTACAACGTGTTGCATCTGTGAACATCCAAAGATCAAGCCATGTTGTTGAAGGACTATGCAGTGATCAGCTAGTGAGGCTCTCACAAGAGTAGAAGCTATGGAGGCGGAAAGTAGGTCACTGCAGGCTGTTGGTGGCCGCTGTAGACTGGTGGCTGGCTGACTAACGCCATGTCAATATCAATACCACTGAAAGAAGCATCACATCAGAACAGCAATCCACTTACTCATCCACCACTCTACAGACAATCCCAGCCCCACTGTTCACATCTCCTCCCAAAACCACAGGTGAACAGCAATGTGGGTAATGATGGAGAGATCCTGTCACAAAGCACACCAGCTAAGTCACAGTGACACTCTACCACTCCAACATCAGGAACACTATCAACCATCTCCTCCTGATTACTGAACGACCAGGATTAGAGAATAATCAATCTCCTGCCCGTGATGTGTGTATATTTATGTGTACACACAGACACAAAGACAAACACACACCTGTTAGTGTAAGAATCACAGCCCCCTAGCACCCATGTGTAGCCAAGTATGGTCCTGAAATCCTCAACCATT